AAATATAGAAGCTACCCTTGTTTCATAGACTGTACAAAAATAGGCAGCAGACTGGATTTGGCCCGTGGACTTTTGGCCCGTGACATTTGTCAGCTCCTGACCTGCAACAACCCTCATTTTTCTCCTACATATTACTTTCTGACTGGCCCGTTTCCCTCTGTGCTGTGTCATGGTTTTGAAGCCTCTCTGCCCTTTCTCTCAGCTGAGATTCACATAGCCTTTGGAGAATCTATGCTTCTGCCCCTGTTGTAGCTCATCAGGGAAAACCAGAATACATTCTACCTAAAAGAACCATTAGGGCAAATTCAGATAATATCTCTCTTCTCCTTTTTGTGTCCTGGCTAGTTTGACATGTAATATGGGTGTATGGAGAAGACAGACAGACTCTGAGAAATGGTTCTGGTTTCTTCAGGGCTCCAAGGTTCTAATGAACAGTGCATGCTGCCTTAGAGATGGCGAGAGTCTGATTTTTAGATAATCATGGATATTTATAGCCTTTTAATAGGCTGCTACCATGGAGTTCTGTTCCAGCACAAAATCGAGAGTCACAAAGAGGCCTGAATAATCAATTTGATGTCATCTCTTAGAAGAGTGGTACATAACAAGGGTATTCAGGCCAAAGTGGAAACTTGGAATAGAAATGGGGGAAGTATAAACATTTGTACCACCCTGTCCCCAGTATATTTAAATGAAAACACAGTACAGATTTTTTTTTTAAAGATTTTATTTATTCATTTGACAGACAGAGATCACAAGTAGGCTGAGAGGCAGGCAGAGAGAGAAAGGAAGGGAAGCAGGCTCCCTGCTGAGCAGAGAGCCCAACATAGGGTTTGATGCCAGGACCCTGAGTTCATGACCTGAGCTGAAGGCAGAGGCTTTAACCCACTGAGCCATCCAGGCGCCCCCACAGTACAGATTTTTATGTGAGGCTGTGTTTAAAGGGAAGCAATATGCCTTATGTCATAGGGAAACAGAACCTGAGAGGACATTCTCAGATTCGTGGTTCTAGCCCTAATCTGTGGCACTGCCCTTCAAACTGATTCCTGGCATCTTGTGAAACAGTGGGGCGACCCGGGTTGTCTTCCTACATCATGAGGTTGGTTTGGTTGGTCTGACAGATGCATTGATTTATGGAAGTGTTTATTGTGGGAACATCTGTTGCTGAGAGCAGCCAGATGAAAGGCATACAGGTGGGAAGATGGAGGAGAGCAAGGACTAGGAGAGGGGTGGTTGTGCTTAAGTTAGGCAGGTGGAGACCATCCCAAGGACAATTGTTAGAACGGAGCTGATGTGGAGCTGTAGAATAGTGGGAAATGGTAAAAGTATCCTAGGCTTTGCACTGTATAGATCTAGACTTGAATCTCCAGCTCTGCCCCTGGTTAGCCCAGGTTTTAGGTGAGCTCTTCCCTTCTTTGAGCTCCATTTCTTCATCTATAGCATGGAAATTATAACAAACACCCTTCTTCTTTCCACCTGTGTGAAACTGTGCTAACATAGACATCCCAGTGAGTTCCTGGTACGTAGGAGAACCCAGTCAGTGGTAGACCTTATTCATGTTTGTCCACGTGTCCGTTCATTTGTTTATTCACCAGTGTTGACTGTGCTTTGCAGTTTGTAATAGAGCCGTCTTTTCGAGTAGATGCCTAATGGTGACTTAGGCCTAAAGCATTTGGTATCAGGGTGAAAGTACATGGTAGTCAACATGTATTTATAGGCATGTGTGTGAGCTTCCAGACGCCACATAGGAAGTTAGTGGGAACCTGAAGTGCGATCTAAAGAACACAGCTGCCCAGCCAATAAATAACAATACAGGATACACTACTCACTAATCAGGGAAAGCGCAAAACAAGACCAAAGTGAGATACCGCTTCACACTCACTGGATTGGTGAAAGTTTTTCAAGTCTGACAATACCAGATGTTGTATTGCACTGCTAGTAGGAGTGTAGACTGATAGGACTGCTTTGGGAAATGATTTGTCAATATCTGGAAACCTGAAAATGTGCATGTCCTTCTTACTGACAATCTACTCTTAAGTGTAACCTGCAGAGAACTTCCTCTGTATAATCAAGTCAATGTGTTCATAACCACATAGTTCTAGTAAATGACCTTAGTGTCCATCAGTGGGGTAATAGATCATACTTGAGTTAAAGTTACAGGTGGCACCATAATAGATGAATTTTTAAACCGTGGTGAGTGAAAAAAATAAAATTGCAGACAGAAAAACATTTATGTATAGCTTTAAAACATGGAAAACTATTAATGTATTGCTTATGGATATCTGGATATAATGTATTGCTTATGTAATAAATGTTAAATTACTTGGAATGATACATATGAGAATCAGAACAGTATTACGGAAAGAAAGAGGGACATGATGAAAGGGTTGCCTAAGGCTCAAATCCCATTTACTCACTAGCTGTGTACCCTTAGACAAGTTCCTTGAGCTTTGTGCCTCAGTTTTTTGGATCTATGAAAGAAAATAATAATAGTATCTGCTTCATAGGTATGTTTTGAGGATTAAATGAGTAAATATAGTCAAAATGCTTAGAATAATACCCAGCAGATAGTAAGTGCTATAAAAGTGTTAGTAATTATAGTTTTTATTATATACATCTTTTATCTTTTGTTGATTTTTAAAAATCTTGAATATTGCAATTTTTCATTTATAAGTGTTTCAGTATTTACTCCAGTGGGTGAGGACTGTTGTTGAACATAACTACAACATCATTATTACTCCTAAAAAAGTAACAGTGAATCCTTAATATCAAATACTCAGTAAGTGCTCAAATTCTGGTTTTCCCGTAAATGTGATTAATTTTTTATTGTTTGGATTAAGTTCCAAACAAGATCTACACATTCTGCTTGGTTGACTTGTCTTTTAAGACATTTTAATCTATAGAGGGGCGCCTGGGTGGCTCAGTGGGTTAAGCCTCTGCCTTCAGCTTGGGTCATGATCTCAGGGTCCTGGGATCGGTCCCCGCATCGGGCTCTCTGCTCAGCAGGGACACTGCTTTCTCCTCTCTCTCTGCCTGCCTGTCTGCCTACTTGTGATCTCTCTCTGTCAAATAAATAAATAAAATCTTTAAAAAAAAGACATTTTAATCTATAGATTCCTCCTCCAACTTTCCTTTTTTGCAATTTTTTGAGCTTTATTGGGGTATAATTGATATGCAAAATTACACACATTTAATATATACATTCTGATGACTTCGAACATATGCAGATACTTATGATGCTGTTACCACAACCTCTAAAAATCTTGTGCTCTATCTCCTTAACATAGTTCAAAGTGTGTTAAAAATATTGCAATTTTTTAAAAAAGAAGAGATGTCATCATATCATTGAAAAGTGAACAAAGATTGAAAATATCGACATAAGAAGTTCAGGATGTGGCATTATAGTAGTTAGCTACAATCTATTGACCCCTAGATATATTAAGTACTATACTAATAGTTTTATATGCACTCATTTAACCTTTCCCTATGAAGAACACACTATTTTTATCCCGATTCTACAGTTAGGAAGAAAGAGGCTTATGAAGACTGTTACTTTCCAAGGTCACACAGTTAGAAGTAGCAAGGCTGGGCTAGAACCCAGGTGAAAATGGCTCATGCTCTTGACTGCTGGGCTGGATAGACTACCTAGCCATTGTTCACGCTAGCCTCCTCCACACAGGTTCCTACTTTCTTCCTGTATCAACTTTTATAAGCGGAGTTGTGCTGTGGGAAGGAACATTCGCACAGTGGGAATTGGGGCACTTGTAATAATAAAGGGTTATTGGTCTCTCGTGTTACATATTCATCAAAGGTCGGCTGAGAGTTCTGCTACATAGCTTCTTACTCCAGGACCCAGGAGTACAGCCCTGATCTCAAACCCTGCCAGTTGCTGGGGCAAAAAAAGAGAGGGACAGAGACCTACAGAGGGAATGGGAACTATGGAGAGTTTCATACTCAGTTAAATGCTCTATCCTGAAAGTGACACACAATACCTCCACACACATACCATCACATACCATAGACTAGAGCAGTGATTTTCAACCACAGGTATTTTTGCCCCTCCCCCCAGGGAATATGTGCCAACGTCTGGAGACAATTTGTTGTCACAGCTGGCAGCAGTGGGGTGCTCCGGGTGCTATCTAGTGGCTAGGGGCCAGGACGCCACTAAATACCCTACAGTGCACAGGGCAGCATCCCACCCCCCACTCCCCCCAGCAAAAAAGAATTTGGCCTTAAATGTCCGTAGGGCCAAGATTGAGCAACTTGGCTAGAGCTAACTGCAAGGGACCAAAAAGTACAATTTTGTGAATCTGTAAGGAAGGAAAAACTGGAATACTTGACAAATAACACTAATAATCACTGTGCATCCTAAAAACTGTTACAAAGGCCCCGAGGAAGCTATTTTCCATGATGGCAATGAAGATGAGTTGGAGGGATAGGCATGGGATGAGCCTTCTAACACAGTCAGCTCCAACTAAGGACAGAGGAGGCCCCTGGACCCACTTCTAAGATGCCCTTCCTCTGATGAGACACTGTCTGAAAGAAATATAATGTGGGCCGTGGGTACAATTAAATTTTTTCTAGTATTCACATTAAAAAGCAAAAAGGAGCAGGTGAAATTAATTTAATAGTACCGTTTATTTAACTCCGTATATCCGAAATACTGCCATTTCAACATGTTATCAATGTAAAAAGTATTAAGATCTTTTACGTTCTTTTTTTTTGTGCCATCTTTGAAATTTATTGTGTATTTCATACAACACCTCTCAACTCGGCTAGCCATATTTCAAGGGCTCAGCAGGCGCCAGAGGCTAATGGCAACAACCCTGCGAGCTTTCTGTGCCTGGGACAGCGTGGCGCTTGGCTGGGTCTCTGAGGCCCGGCAGCACGGCTGGAGCCCTGAGTCAGTAAGTTCTGAGAGTGGGCATCACTTGCAGGAGCGTCTGCCCTGCTGTGCATATGCTTGAGGGACGAAGAGAGACTGTGTAGTTTGTAGCTCACCTCCACTTCTGTCGTGCCTTCGCAGGTGCCTCATCTCCAGACATGGAGCCCAGCTACGGGGGAGGTCTCTTCGACATGGTGAAAGGAGGTGCAGGGCGGCTCTTCAGTAACCTAAAGGACAACCTGAAAGACACCCTCAAGGACACATCTTCCCGAGTCATACAGTCTGTTACCAGGTATGCACATTCTTTGTTTCAAGTTTTGTTTTTTTTTTAAATTTATTTGACAGAGAGAGATAACAAGTAGGCAGAGAGGCAGATGGGGGCGGGGTGGGGGAAGCAGGCTCCCCACTGAGCAGAGCTCCCAATGCGGGGCTCGATCCCAGGACTCTGGGATCATGACCTGAACCGAAGGCAGAGGCTTTAACCAACTGAGCCACCCAGGTGCCCCTAGGTACATGCATTCTTGCTGGCTGAGTTAATGGATACCCATGCCCCTCAAGGACCTGGTTACCTGCCGGCTGCTTTTCTGGCTCAAGGACTTACCGTTGTGTGATGTAATTGCGTGGATCGACCAAGCAATGTCATTGAAGCCATCACGTTGAGGCCTTCAGAAGCAACGAGCACAGGCGCAGATGGCTCAGCGCATTACGTTAAAATATAGTGGTTGCCATCCCTGTCTTGTGAGTCCAGCATTCTGGGTCCTCATGCATTATCTGCCCTTGTTAATTAACCACGTGACCTAGGCAACTTAATTAGCTTCTCTGAGCTTGACTTTTATACTCTAATAGGATTCATGTCCCTGGTTGGTTTGAGAATTAAACGAGGTAATAATGCACATGTAACCTGAAAACAATACTTATGGATTATAATTGAAACAATTATTTTTTGTATCTTAATAGCCCTTTAAACCTTGTTTAGTGGAGGAAATTTCCTACCCTTCTACTGTATGAAAATTCTTACAAGCAGGCCATATGAATTGTTTTTTATTTGTAGGTATTAGAAAATTCTAGGGTTGCTTCAAATTATAGTATGCATTTTTTTTATTATTAACATATAATGTATTATTTGCCCCAGGGGTACAGGTCTGTGAATCATCGGGCTTACCACAATTCACAGCACTCACTATAGCACATACCCTCCCAAATGTCCATCACCCAGCCACCCTATCCTTCCCCTGCACACCCCCAGCACCCCTCAGTTTGTTTCCTGAAATCAAGAGTCCCTTAGGGTTTGTCTCCCTCCCGATCCCATCCTGTTTCATATTTTCCCTTCCTACCCCTCATGACCACCCCCCCGCCCTACCTCTCAAATTCTTCACATCAGAGAGTTCATATGATAATTATCTTTCTCTGATTGACTTATTTCAATATGCAGTTTTTAATCATAAATTCACATGTCAAGTCCAAAATTTTAATCAACATTTTAACCTTTGTTCAGAGGTAAAAATTTATCCCTTACCTGCAATCCCCAGCTAGGGCCTGGCCGGCAGAGAAAGGATGTTCCTTGTTTCTCCATCACTTCCTTCCTTACCCTCCAGCTGCCCACACTTATAGGAGGTAGTCATACGTAGGCAAAGAGGCTGGAATAATCCATGTTAATGAATAAGCAGTGTTTTCTGTTCTTAGATTGATTCTGCTCATGAAGTGTCATCTACAAAGGGTACTGGCTACATCGGTTAGAGTGTAGATATACGCTCCTGCGGGTGTGGGTTGCTGCTCTCAGCAATTGTTCTTTGTTAGACAGAAGGCCTTGAGGGTGGTCTAAATGCCTACTGGATGCAAGTGTCCAAGTCATAATGTGCAAGTGAATGAGAGAGGGGAGTCCTGGCATATTTGGATGATTTTAATGAGAACCCTTTCCTTGCTTTTAGCTACACGAAGGGAGATTTAGACTTCACTTATGTTACTTCCAGAATTATTGGTAAGTTCCTCATGTTTAATAACTGCTCAGTAGCTCAGCTTACAAGTGGCTCCCCATGGAGACAGCAAACCTGTTTAACCTATCTCTCTCTCTCTCTGATCCCTGCCAGTGATGTCCTTTCCTCTGGACAATGTTGACATAGGATTCAGGAATCAGGTTGATGACATCCGAAGCTTTTTGGATTCCAGACATCTTGACCACTACACGGTGTATAATCTGTCACCCAAGTCTTATCGAACTGCCAAGTTTCACAGCAGGGTAAGGAGTTTAAGCGCTGGGATCACATGGTTTGAAGACATAACAGGGTATTTTTCCCTTTAAGAGCTATCCTCAAAGCTTTGGTCCTCAGACCCCCAAAGCTGATTAACTATATACTATGGGCACTTCTAGCCACAAAGTGTTTATTAGGCTATTATGAAATATTTTGAAGATTTTCCTTGGGTAAGCACATTTGCAGGAAGGTTTATATGTCAATGAGATACCATATAATTTGGGGTCTCAAATCACTTATGGCTGGTTGTTCTGTTGTTAGGACACATTGCTGTGAGGCTCAGTTGGAGATGGAACTGCTATGTAGGGCGGTTGACAACTCTTATACTCTAGCACTAATGATGCCTTTAACCACTCCTTCTTCCTACTTGGGCACCATGATGAAGCAGCGGTGTTAGGCTGGTAGACACCAGCGTTCATGGAAATAGCTCTCTGACATTCAGTAAAGGTGCTTCTTTCATGGTAGAGGACAACACACAGGCAGTCCACCCTGTAGGTGTGGTAGTACTATTACTCATATTTGGAGCATTTACACTGTCTTCTGAGGTAGACGGGGACACAGAGAAGTGGTGACTTGCCCAAGACCATACCACTAGTAGGTGGTCTTAGGCTTGTGTTCTTAACTATTACTCTGGGCTGGCGATATTATTGGGGAAAGCTGGCTTATCCTTCGAAGGAGCTTTTTGAATGAGGCAGAGAAATACAGAAAAATAGAAAAAAATTCTAGTTTCTGGCTGGTGAAGCAATGAGTGCTGGCTCAGGTTTGAATCTGATGAGAGTTTGATATTTCTGGCCACGGAATTCTTTTATTATTATTATTTTTTAAAAGATTTATTTATTTATTTATTTGACAGAGATTACAAGTAGAGAGGCAGGCAGGGAGAGAGAGAGCGGAAGCAGGTTCCCTGCTGAGCAGAGATCCCGATGCGGGGCTTGATCCCAGGACCCTAAGATCATGACCTGAGCCAAAGGCAGAGGCTTAACCCCCTGAACCACCCAAGCATCCTGGCCACAGAATTCTTGAGTGACTCACTAAATGAAGGCTTTTTCTCTCTCAAGAACATCTTCAAATATTTTGATTTAGCCTTAGATATGATTGGTTTTGTAAGTATGTCTGAGTCTATTAATAAATAGAAAGGATTTTCTATACAGTGGACACTTGAAGAGTGCAAATTGATTTCAAATAAACAAAACATTAGTTGGTTGTCCATATGGTGTATCCAGGACCTCAGCCTTGATGCTGGAACACATTTTGCCCCAAATTTCAGTTGCCATTGATAATCTCTGGGTTTCAATTTCTGGATCTGTAAAAAACACAAGAAGTTTGGTCTCTATGTTCTCTAAGACCTCTACCTGCCTTAATGTTCAATAAGATAGGAGAGGGTTTTGCTAAGGACTTTCTTTTCTCTGAGTGTTCCTGGAATAGGCAAGAGGAAACCCAGTGGATCTCAAATTTAGTGAGCAACAAAACCACCTGGAGTGCTAGTCAAACCCAGGCCTCGTATTTCTGATTTCATCAGGGCAGGAGAGTGGTGGGAGTCTGCACTGCTAACAGCTTTCTGGGTGCTGTTCCTGCTTGCCCTGGGGACCGCTCTTCAGAAGCAGTGATAAAACCATTTTGAAGCAGTTAGTCTAAATTGCCATTCTCTAATGGAGATTTTAAATGCAGCTTTTTAAAATTCCCTATAATTAACTGCCTTTCCAACTCTTCTTCCACCTATTACCTAATTCAGAGTAAGTGAATTAACATCAAACAAAAATGTGGGTAGATATTCTGTTTCTAACTCGGACACAAATCTTTTGATTTTTTTCTTGTTTGGAGACTCCGTCAATGTCATCATTTTCATAACTGAAGGACTATCATAGAAATTTTATTTGATCTTGAAAGATCTGTAATAGTCTGGAAAAATTTTGCTCTGAAAGTAAATAAAGATATACCATTATAGAAGCATTCATACAGATGAGGTTGTCTCTTTGTGTCGGATTTGTAAAAGCAATCTCTATAAAGGTATTTTTAAAAAGGCATCTGTTAGTATAATTACATATTTTGTGACCAGTCTTAACAGTCTTACCACAAGACCAGGACTTACATATTGAGCATCGGTCCTGGGTTGTTCTCGTTTGCCCTAGAAGAACAGGAGGTATGTTTAGCTTACTGCCACCTAGAACAGTGGCTGGCTTGGCTAACACACGGTTCTCAGAAGAATGAATGTGCCAAGAATTATTAAACACATAGATACAAAATAAATATTTGGTTCTTTTTCTCAAGACACTTAAGCCTAGCTGGAAAGAGAAGCCAGGGGATGTCTGGGTGGCTCAATCAGTTAAGTATCTACCTTCAGCTCAGGTCATGAACCCAGAGTCCTAGGATAGAGCCCCACATTGGGCTCTCTGCTCAGAAGAGAGTCTGTTTCTCCCACTGCCTTCTGCTCCCTCTGTTTGTTCTCTTTCTCTCTGACAAATAAATAAATAAAATCTTAAAAATCTCGGTCCTTTTTCTCCCCAGCACTAATACCACAAATTGATTTCCATCTCATTGTTGCATTACTTAGGAAAGGTTTTTTTTTTTTTTTTTTTTTTGGTTCTCATCTCTCAGGGCATGAGGGCTAGAACTATTTCTTCCTCCTTCCAGGACAGTGGAGTATTAGGTGTGCAATTAAATCTTATTTTAACAAATATGGATGGCACAGGGTGCCTGACTGGCTCAGTCAGTAGAGCATATGACTCTTGATCTCAGGCTTGTAAGTTCAAGCCCCATGTTGGGTGTAGCAATTACTTAAAAATAAAATCTTTAAAAAGTGAAAAAAAAAATAGTGTAGATGGCATAGTCTTCCATAAATTCCAGTGTTGGAAAAGACCAAATATGAGACTGGTTTTATTTACAGACTCACAGAAGTCCAGTTCTGTGTATATCTGAACTCAGTCACTTTACATTTTAATTGACTGATGTGTGTTTGGGGAGATGTGTGGTGGTGGCAGAGCGGCTGTTTCCAGGAAGATTTCACTTTGCTGAGGGGGATCATTTTGTATTGTGATTAGCTTTTATGCTTAGAAGCCACATGGTTTGATAGGAATCATAGGAGATAATCAACTAGCTGTTTTCTTAGTATTTGCACGTGGAACAGAACATTAGAAAAGGACTTACATTTGGTCTCCATGTTGACAGAGGCCCCAACTCAAAACAGTACTTGTCAGAGTGCCCCACTTTCAAAGGGGAGTGCTAGAATGCCTATTCAGACCCTCACAGGATGTACTGAACAGCAGTTCTCTTACTTTTCGTAGCCAGTTTCCACCTTGAGGAAATAAAAATGACCAGTGTTGACACTAAAGTCCTAGAGACCAAGGAGATGCATTATCTAAACCAGGTGTTCCTAATCTGAGTTAAAGAAACGCAACTCCCCTGTGTATCTAGACCCATGGATGGACTTCAGAGAGTTTAACCATCTCTTCCATTCCTTTTTTCCTCCCTCTCTCCCACCTTTCCTTTTCTTTCCCTCCCTCCCCTCCTCCTTCCCTTCCTTCCTTCCTCCCTTCCTCTTTTGACAGTAAACTATACATGACATAAACATATACCATTTCAACCACTGCTAGGAATACAGTTTGGTGACATTGAGCACATTCACAGTGCTGTGTAACCATCACCACTGTCTAGCCCACACCTTCTCTAGCATCTCCCAAATAAACACCCATCCACTCTGTGGGTGTGTGTACACTGATTCACTTTCTGCACACATTTACAGCTCTGCTCAGAATATCAGGGACCACCACTTTATACACTGCTGTTGGCAAGAGATGGAAAACTGGATGAATGGACACTAAGTTGAGGCTGGCCCTAAAGTTCTTACATACTGATAGCACTCCACTGCTGCTCTGAGTGTCCTCCCTCCCCTGTTCAGCCAGGTAGAAAAGTATGCTGAAGGAGCCCCATGAGGAGCATAAATCATCATCATCATCATCATTCCAGGTTCCTTTAGAATCTTTCTTCATTTTGACTATTTCTAAACTACATGATCTTATAGGACTTCTTTTGAGAACAAATTGACTTGGGGGAAATATGCTACCAACTTGAACTTCATAAAGCGCAATCTTTTGTTTGTTTCTTTATTCGTTTCCTTCCAGAGCTCACCAAAGAGGTCACCGTAGCTCTCAGGTGTTTTGGTTTTGGTTCATGGTTGGTGAGAAGGGGTGACCCTAGAGGAGTGACTTTACAGCTTCTACTTCATCTCTCCCTCTGCCACCAGTCTTCAGTGTAAGGATAGGAAATAATGGGGTGGGGTGGAAAAAAAAAAACAAAAAACCCTGGCCTAGAAGTTAGAGGGCCAGGGATCCCCACACTCTAGTTCTGCAGGCTTCAGTGAATTGAATATCTCCACCTTAGAAAATACAGCCATCACTTGAGGCCATAACCACCACACAAATGTAAGAAGGAATTGCAGTTAATAATCAATCAGCCAGTGTGGTAGAATAGGAAGAACACGACTCTTCTTATTTTATTATTGAGATGAAAATTATAGCATATACACAGATTTCAAACTTTAAAAATTACCCGAGGTTCACATCACAGCTGCTCCTCTTCCTGGTTAAATCACCATTTTCTCCTGTATAAATTAAGGATGACAAGACCAATGTCTATTGTGCAAATACTTAGAAACTTTTTCTGTAGGTTTGCTCTAAGGAATAAACTTCATAGCAGATCTGCACTATAGTAAACATTTGGTAAGTGGTAGTTATGATTAATGTTATTAATAATAAAATGCCACAAGAAATGATTGACTGACCCCTGTTTCCCAAAAATAGTGTGCAGATTCTTAAAACACTGGATATGGCTCTTGAGTTCAATTCTCTGGAGTATCTTTTGCTCTTGTGCCCAGCAAGTGGGATGCTTCGGCTATCTTATCTCACCCTTGGAGTGATGGAGAGATGAAAATGGAGCATCTAGCCCTGGTGCTGTTTGGCTTCTTTCCCCACTGGGTGGTATCATGGCAGCCTGTAATCCATATGGCATTTCCTGACGCTTGTGGCTCTGGGAGATGTTTAGAAAGACTGGAGATTGCATTGCGAAGTGTCACATGCCCAAGGATTGTGGTTATTGCACGAACCTGTGAACCCCAGGGAGCTACAAAAACAGCTTGTGATTGAATTCCTTAAAACATTTTTGTTTTGTTTTGTTTATGCCGTAATGTTTCTTTTTCCCCTTTTAGACAGAGTACATGCTTTAAAAAAAATTCTAATTGTATGTTTGCTTAATGGTGTATAATTATATATCAAGTAAATATATAATTATGGAGTACTTTAAATTAATATTATTTACTTGATTGATTTAATGATTGTGGAGCTTTTAGCCTATTGTGCTAAGAACAATTTAGCCAACTTTTAGCTGAGACTTATTACAGATACTGACATTTAAAGTGTTTGTATGGTTGACAGCTTGTAAGAGGTTTAAAAATACTTCCAGGAAAAACCATTTTTTTTTTTTGTACTTTTACATGATTGCAACCTAAAACAACAACAAAATTGATTCACTTGTTCCTTCCCTGAGTGATTGTACATATGGACAAATCTCAGCACAAGAAATGATTGCCAAATGGGGTGTATTCCTTTGTTCTTTCACTCATTCATTCACTCAGCAAATACCTACTGAGCACCTGCCATTCAACTGACACATGGACACGACTCTGAGGTTACAAAATGAATAAGTTTGGTGTGTCTCTTCTCATGGGGTTTAGTGGCTAGAGGGGTAGATGGATGCAAACAGTTAATTTGAGTACAATTGGAAAATAAGCTGGCACTCACCATGCTTATGTTGTGCTACTTAATTCTCCTAACAGTTTTGTAATGCTCATTTTCACTTTACACATGAGAGATTTTAAGCTCTGAGAGATCAGTAACTTGACTAACGTTAATCAGGTCGTAAGCAGTAAAAAGCAAAGGTGAAAACCCAGCCCGTGAGTTCAACCCTGTTGTTCAACTGATAAAAGCTTTAATAGATGAGAGTGGACAAGAACATGTGTACAAAGACCTAAGTTAATGAAGATTTCTGCCTCTGGGTGCTAAAGAAACTTTCAGAGACAAAAGAACACTTGAACTTAGGTTGTTTTTTTTTTTTTAAAGATTTTATTTATTTATTTGTCAGGGACAGAGGGAGACAGAGCGAGCGAGCACAGGCAGACAGAGAGGCAGGCAGAGGCAGAGGGAGAAGCAGGTTCCCTGCCGAGCAAGGAGCCCGATGTAGGACTTGATCCCAGGACACTGGGATCATGACCTGAGCCGAAGGCAGCCGCTCAACCAACTGAGCCACCCAGGCGTCCCTTGAACTTGGGTTTTAAACGATGAATGTACACTTACCAATGTAAGAAAAACACTGGAGACAAGAACTAGCTTATACAAATGTACACTTTGCAATTTCTCCGATGGCAAAATTTGTCTTCCCAACTATTCTTTTTTTTTTTTTTTTTAAATCAATGTATCATTTCTGTCCCTTGAGAACACATCAGTGGGGAATCCATTTGGGGGTAAAGAATGGACCAAACACAGCCCTGATTTGTATTGGGTAGAAAGGGGCAAGCTGATATAGAGTCTAAATTGACAGACGGCCAGTAGAGGGTCACCCCAGATTGTTTGGTAGCTGTGTGAAGTGTTTCAGCGACTTTGTTCACTAAAATCACACCCATCATTGCCAAAAGATACAGGTAAGTGAGTCATTACCCTACAGTCATCTTATAGAAAAATGTTACAAATTAAGCTAAAGGAATGGACTTTCTTGACAACCCCAGAACGAGAAGCTCCAGGCGTTTGCCTTTGGATGTCTGCTCTAGAGAGACCACACCTCATTTCCCATTTATATTTTGACTAGTGATTATCTGGTTCCCAGAAAAGGGCAACCAAATAGATTACTCCGGCCTCCCTCTCCCCACTGTTAAACATTAGGAATTTGAGACATTTGGGGTTTCTTAGGCCAGCGGTGGTAGTGTTTCAGAGTATTTTCTGGTGACACCATCCACATAAAAACCTAGTCTTTCTCCAGAATTCCTTACCTCAGTAAATGGCACCTGCCATCCTTTTATCCAGCCATTCAGGCTGGAAACCTAGGAGTCATCCTTGACTCTTTCCCCCTCATCTCTTAAGTACACTCCTCCACACTCACTGCCCCCATATGATCAGTCTCCAAGTCATACATATACAGGTATTCCATCTCATCTCTAATTCCTGAATCCCTCAAGTCCCACTGGCACTCATCTAGCCTAAGCCGCCATCATCCCTGACTTGGACTGCTCAACAGCCTCCTGGCTGGTCTCCCTGGCTACTCTCATGGCATCCACATCCATTCTCCACACTGGATCTTGAGGTGTCTTCGGAAAATGCAGATGAAAGTCACTCTCCTTCTTCAATATTCTCCCAACTTCTCACAGACCTTGAGTGAGCTGGACCTTTAGATAAGTAGACTTATCTACCCTGTAGATATCTATAGGGTAGATAAGTCTACTTATCTAAAGGGTAGATAAGATAAGTATACATTCTTATCAAACAGGGTTTCATTCATTTTATTCAAACATATCTCACTTTATCTGAACCCAGGGCTTTGCACGGGCAGTTACCTGATACAATATTGATCATAATAACTAACATTCCTTAATCACTTTGTGTGTGTCAGATACTAAGCTGAGCCCTTGAAATATATCCTCATGTACTAACCACATCCTGTGAGGTAGGTAGGTAGGTACCACTCACCACATTTTGTGAAGGAAGAAAAGCTAAAAGAGGTCATAGAGTTTGCCCAAGTCTAAACGTCTTCTTATCTTTGTTACCTAAATTAGTAAATATCTTATCAGTTGGGGTTCATGCCTAATATTTTGAATCAGTGATGATCTCTCTACCAGTCTACTCTTATTGTCCAGTGATTTATATTCAGAAGATCTGGGTTGCACTGCTGGTACTGACCAACAGTATGACTTTAGACAAGGCAACCTCTGAGAGTTAGTTTTCTTATCTGTAGAACGGGGATCACATTAATACCTGACTTGTATGATTATGGTACAGCTCATAGCCAAACAGAATTCCAGGAACATAGTCAATGCTCTGTAATGGGTTAAAGGAACACATGTATTAGATGAATGAAAATACTGAGGATTGCCTCATGGACTTGTGAGTTCTCTCTTTAAGACAGAAAGAAATAAGAGCTTTGAACAAGGGTATCTTTGGCTTACTCTGCAGCTCTTTTCATGTTCTCATGACAACTAGGGTAAAATCAGGGATAATGTAGGTTTTATAAGGTAATACTGTAATTAAGTATATAATAGGCAGGTCAAACCTTTTTTTTTTTTTTTTTGAGATTTTATTTATTTATTTGACAGAGAGAGAGAGAGAGATCACAAGTAGACAGAGAGAGGCAGGCAGAGAGAGACGGGGAAGGAGGCTCCCTGCCAAGCAGAGAGCCCGATGTGGGGCTGCATCCCAGGACCCTGGGATCATGACCTGAGCTGAAGGCAGAGGCTTAACTCACTGAGCCACCCAGGTGCCCCCAAACATTTTATACTTAATAGAAATTAAATGCAACCTCACAGAATTAAAAAAAATCCAAACATATAGTTTAAATGGTCTATTTTTTTTTTTTTTTTTTTTTTTAGAGAGAGAGAGAACATGCGTGCATGTGTGTGTGCATGCCCAGGTGTAGGGGAGTTGGGGGGAGAGGAGCAGAGGGCAAGAGAGGGAAAGAGAGAATCTCAAGCAGATTCTGTGCTGAGTGCAGAGCCCAATGCAGGGCTGGATCTCCCAAACCTGAGGTCATGACCTGAGCTGAAATCAAGAGTTGGTCTCTTCACTGACTGAGCCACCCAGGTACCCCTAAATGATCTATTTTTACTTAAAATGTACTTCAAAATGTGTTTTTAATACCTTTAGAGGAATGGAATTTTTTAATTAAGGAATTGTTATATTAAACAACTCTTCTGCGTTTGGTCCCTGTTCCCATCTCTCCTTCTATATTAAAAGAGAATGTGGTATCATATTCCAGAAGTTGTTTGTTGTGATAGCTCCTTATGGAGAGGAGTCGCTTGGGGAATTCATTTCCTTTTGCTCTGTGCCTTAGGTCTCAGAGTGCAGTTGGCCCATCAGGCAGGCCCCCAGTCTACACAACCTTTTTGCTGTGTGTCGGAATATGTATAATTGGCTACTACAGAATCCCAAAAACGTCTGTGTTGTCCACTGCTTGGTGAGTAATCTTCATTACTGTTGTTGCTGTCACTTGTAGTAGGTGGGTTTGGTTTGGCCAAGTACAGCTGGCTCTGTACAGACTGGTGGACAGATAACATTTAAGCTGAATAAAAATTTATTGAATCCCTACTTAGGAATTAGGTAATGTGAGGGATATAAAAATGAGGAAGGAATTTATTATTCTTGCCTTAAAACTTGAGTACTTTTGAGAGAGGCAGATACATGCACATAGTAGAGGGCCTCTAGAATGTGCTAAATATTATAAAAGAGGTAGACACAAGGACTGAAGAAGAAGAAGTAGAAGAAGTAGACACAGGCAGAAATACCAGTAAGTTCTGTGTGAATAAAATTGATAAACACATTGGAATATTTATCATTTCTTTTTGTGCTTGAATAAAAATGAAATAAGAAGACCCCTCTGCTCTTGCACATAGTCATGTAGATTGATTGTATGTTGTAGCAATTCCTAGTGGAAGTGATGACTTTCCTGACCCCTGACTTCTTAGGGTCCCTTTCCCCAACTATCCTCTGGTGGCTTCTTATCTATTGTTTAAAACTCAACTCTGGTAAAATATTTTTGACTCATGAGTATATATATACACATTTCCACTGTGTATCTTAATGTCTTCTGTGGCATCCTCGTAATCTGGCGATCTGCCTGTTTTCGCACTAGACTATAAGCATCTCACAGGCAAGAACTGTATCTTCTTTACCTTTGCACCCGGGTCTGAAAGGTTTGAATAAGTGATTGCATACATGAACAAACGGACACACAGGTGGAATCTGAGCATAAATACTAGGACTATTCATTGCTTCTAGAAATGTCAGGGTGTATTTTTTTTTGCTCTAGGATTACCTGATGATTTTCTCCCTCCTTGAGAGCCAGTTGGCTAAAAGAGGGAAAAAATCTAAAGAACATACTTTCTTCTTTCCGTCTCACGTTCTCAGACTCTTGGCAACAAAGAAAAAGCACTTGATGTTCATAGAAGTTTAATGTGAAAGGCCAAAGGGTTTTTTTTGTGGAGGCACAGCAGATTGTGCAACAGAACAGATTACTTTCAGGGACTAAGCAGCCTTTAGGCACCCTGGTGATTTTTTCTTTGCTCAAGAACTTCCTAAAAAGTTCAGAGGGCCAGAATCTGATAGCTTTGTAAGAGAAGATGGCTTACAATCATGAAGAATCAAAAGCCAACAAAGAAGAAAAAGAAGCAGACAAAGGATTATGACACCATTGGCTGCGTTTGGTTCACTGGAAAATGATGTGAATGAGTCGTACGTCTGTATCAAGTCTTCGGGAAATGGAATTGAAGCTGAAAGTGGGAGCTTTTATTTTTATCATGTTTATTTCTGTCTTATTAAAAATAATAAGCGTATACTCATCTTTCCATAAAAACCTAGTTAAACTTTGAAAAAGACTTGTGTGGTAGATAAAAGGAGGGGACACATATCCCAAGAGCCATGAATCAGGTAAGAGTATCAAGAAGGCTAAATCTAAAAGGAATGAAGATTAAGAAAAATGTCTTAAAAAAAGCTGTCCTTGGAATAAGGACAATAACAAATGCTTAAGGCACGTGGTATAATCTTAACTCTTTTATTCTGTTTCTCTATCAGGGAAATAGATGTCAGGCTAGGAAGTGGGTAACAATGATCATTAAGACAAGCTGATAGGTAGTGAGATATGAAAAGAGCTTCACAGTACTTAAAAATAATCCACTCTCTAGACTTAAATTCTGTGGCAGAATGCCGAGAGCGCTTGGAAAAGCAATCATGGACTCCTTATGTAATATGAGGAAACAGGAAATAGAGGTGCCAAGCAAACAAAGACAGGGGGATTTTTCGAAAAGATGGAGGAGATTGATCCTGGAAAGTTACAGGCTGGTGAACCTGATGGCAATTCAAGGCAAAATTCTAATCTAAGTCTTTGCACAGATGATTTTAAACTCTTAGGAAAAAGAAGTCCTCATCGCTTCATTATGAACACATGTATCAAAACAACTGAACTTTTGCAACAAGGCCAAGAGATTAATAGGGACAGTTTATTGGATTCCTGAAAGATATTTTCCAATTTCTTATAATCAAGATAGAGGAATCTGGGCTAGGCTGTTATACATTGAGTTGGATTTTGGCTCAGTATCTGCTTCCAAAAGTAGGTGATTAATGAATCAGCATCCTTCCAGAAGGTTGCGTTTGGTTGCTCTTTTAATTAAAAACATTGATGATGATATGAAGACCAATTTTCTCTGAACTGGGAAGGTCATATAATGAATCTGGATTTTAAAAGCCATTGTAGGTTGGTTGTTTAGCAGAAGCTAACAATGTGAAATTAAACACAGAATAAATGTAAAGTCCCTAATCTTGTTGTAAAAGATTAAATATTTTTGTGTCTTAGCTTAACACATCATTTGAAAAAGAACTAGGGGTTTTAGTGGATAGGAAGATCAATAAGAGCTTGTGGTGTGACTTAGCCTGCATATAAACTGCTTTAGCCTGGGGTTATGTTAGTAAAAGCATAGTGTCCAGAATAAGGAAGATGATATTTCTTTTCCTCTCTAGTGTGGTTGGAGTATATCTCATATCTTGTATTTCACATCTGGGTAGCACATTTAAGGTTGTTGTTTTAAAATGAGTCTGTGCAGAAAAAAAGTTTGCCAAATGATGTCTGTGAAAATGGAATATCAAATGGGGAAGAATCAAAGGAACTGTGTATTGGTTGGGATTCTTTAGAGAAACAGAGCCAACATATAATGTATTCATTATAGGAATTGGCTTATGCAGTTACAGAGGCTGAAAGGTCCCACAATTTATTTGCTCTCTGCAAGCTAAAGAACCAGAAAAGCTGGCAGTGTAATTCAGTCCGAGTCCAAGGCCTGAGAACCAGAGGCTCTGATGTCTCAGGGGAGAAGAAGGTAGACATTTCTAGTTCAAGAACATAGAAAATTTGCCCTTCTTTACTTTTTGGTTCTATTCGGGTCCTCAAGAGATTAGATGATGCCCACTCATGTCGATGAGGGTGTTTCTTTTTTTGCTCACTCTACTGATCAAATGCTGATCTCTTTTAGAAGCACCCTTATAGACACATCCAGAAGTAATATTTTACCAGCTATCTGAGCATCCCTTAACCCAGTCAAGTTGACACATAATATTAGCTGTCATAGATTGGGTGTGTTTTTAACCTCGAAAACAGAAGAGTTGGTGGAAAGGGAGGGTATTTCAGACATGTGAAAGGCTTTCCCAGGGAGAAAGAAGTAGGCTTACTTTTTTCTGACAGAAGGAAGAATCAGGATCACTGAGTGGAATAGACTTCAAGCTGAACTTATTCAGGACAAAAACTTTGTAACCTGGACTGAGCTTCTTCGAACAGCAGCAAACTCCGTGTCACTTAAAGTAGTCTAGAAGAACCTGTGTCACCATCTATCGGGAATGTTACTGCATATAGTTCTCCATTGAATGTGGTTGAAACATGTAAATCTTCTTTATTTTCTCTGATTCTAGGAACATACCTTGGGTGAAATATATACATAGCATATTCCAAAAAACAGTATTTCCCAAATCTGTGAACTCTACCTCTGGCCTGCAACCAAGAGACCTCAACTACCAGTTCTGATCTTACAAGATCAAAGTTACTTTGAAGATTAGATTATTTTTCAGTAAATATATACAAATTAAACTTACATTGCTTGGTTTCTTAGGTTAGTAGAGTTAATTTTGCCCTAAGAATAGTTTTGCCCTTGCTGCATTGTGATTTGAAGATCTGGGACAGAGTTTGGTTTTCAAACGCACAATTTTTAACTGAAAATCATTCTGTTAAGAGGAATTCTCCCTTTTCTCCCCTCTTTTCACTGCAAGCACAACCCTTCTCTATGGTGAGTGGCTGATTGGGCCATGTCTGTTTATGGTCCAGTGAATCACATTTATACATAAAGTGTTTATGTATCTTTCTTGGCAGGATGGACGGGCAGCATCGTCAATTCTGGTCGGTGCTATGTTCATTTTCTGTAACCTCTACTCTACTCCTGGCCCTGCCGTACGGTTGTTATACGCAAAGCGACCCGGAATCGGGCTATCGCCATCCCACAGGAGGTAAAGTAAGCTAGATGAAGAGTAGGCCCAGATGTTTCTAAACTACTGTCATGCACTTAAAAAAAGAAAAACCCTTTTTAGGTAATTGACTTATTATATTCCCATTAGTCACAATTTCTCCCTTTCTCTTATTTTAATTGCTTCTCCTTACATTTTTTGCATTGAAAGTGTTTCTGATGATAAGTCCTAAAATTTTCCCAGAGCCAGAGCAAGCCTTTAGCTGACAAATTGAATCTGGTCGATCAAATAAGAATAGATATGCAAATATCGAGCTAGGGTAAGGCTCCCACAAGCCTTTTCATTAAATAAATATGCCTTTTCAGTTCTTCGGGGGGAATATAGGAATGTCACTAGATAAAAGCTTTCCTAAATTTTTGGCTACATCCTCTTTTGGCAGTTAATGTTTAAGAAATTAACACAGTAAATGGTTATTGTAAGTTAGTCATTTACAAGAACAGACTTGATAGCAAAGATTGATCGTTTCTTATTTCTGGTGTGCTTGGCACCGACAGAATGTCAATCTTCTGTTTCAGATATCTGGGTTATATGTGTGACCTCCTAGCAGACAAACCCTACCGCCCTCACTTCAAGCCTCTCACCATTAAGTCCATCACTGTCAGTCCAGTTCCTTTTTTTAACAAACAGAGAAACGGATGTCGTCCTTACTGTGATGTATTGATTGGAGAAACCAAAATATATACGACCTGTGCAGATTTTGAACGAATGAAGTAAGTTATGATACTTTTTTTTAAAAAAGATTTTATTTGTTTGAGAGATCTAGAGCAAGGGAGTGAGCACACGTAGGGAAGATAGGTAGAGGGAAGGGGAGATGCAGACTCCCCACTGAACAGGGAGAGCAATGTGGGGCTCGATTCCAGAACCCCGAGATCATGACCTGAGCTGAAGGCAGACGCTTAACCCACTGAGGCACTTGGGCACCCCAGTCATGATACATCTCTTTACTTCTTCCTGTGAATTGCCTTATTCTTCTGTAAGTTGGATCATATTCTTCCTGGGAGAACTACATTACTGTAACATGGCTGATGTTAAAAAAAAAAATTCTGTGTAGGTTGTAATTATAGAAAAGCAAAGCTAAATCAAGGGGCGTTATAGCTCTCTCTCAAATGGAGATACAAGCTAAGGGACTAGTGTGAGCTATAATGAGGGTTAAGACAGTGATGTGAACAGAGGACCTGCACATTGAAGAAAGAGATGACCTTGATGAGATTTAGTGAGGATGAGGGAAAAATCAGGGATGAATGAAGTTTCTGGGTAAGCAGTGAGGTAGACAGTGATGTAATCAAAGCAGTTATAGAATCCACAATAAAGAGCAGGTGCCAGAGGGAGGTGGTAGGGGATATGGAGAGAAGGTAGTGGATGGTAACATAAAATGAAGTTAGTTTGGAATAGGTTAAATTTGGGGATTGGTATCCAAGATACTCATAGAGCATAACAGTGCAGTTTCTATGCTGATCTTGGTTGGACATTTTTGTTCCCTCTATCCCTACTTTAACTGTTAATTTAAAGTTAAGTGACAAATACAACATGGCTAGATGTATTTGAGGATCATGACATCTACAGAGTATGGATGGGTAGTCAATTTATCTGGAAGTCCAGTTGGGATGGAGAGAGAGAGGACCTATCATTAGACCAACAGCATCCCATGGGAGAACCAGTTTGCACCCATGGCTGTTCTCTTGACTCTGCTCAAGATAGGAAATAGTTCTTGGGTGCAGACTTGGGCAACAGATACCTTGGCCAAAGCCACAGAGGACTCTACCTATGTGATAATACAAGATTAGACTCTTTCAATGTAAATTTTTGTCTCTGTTCAAAGAGAATACCGTGTCCAGGATGGAAAAATCTTCATTCCCTTGAGCATCACTGTGCAAGGAGATGTTGTTGTTTCCATGTACCACTTGAGGTCAACCATTGGGAGCCGGCTACAGGCTAAGGTATGGTTTCAGGAAGAATCATGGCATAAACTCTTCTGAGCCTTTAATAGGAATATTTTATTTTATGTTGTTATTTAAAGGAATCTCTGTGCCCAGTGTGGAGCTTGAATTCATGACCCTGAGATCAAGAGTCTCATGCTCTCCCTGCTGAGCCAGCAAGGCATCCCTTAATATAAGGAGTATTTTAGAATCTTTTCTTGGCATTACTTTGGGTTTGAGTGGCTTGTAGTTTTAGAATTAGAAAGAGGTCTTAAAAATTACTTATGTCTATTTCCCTCGTTTTATAGGGAATGAGACTCAGAGAGGTTGTGATTTCCCGGTCCTTGGCTTGATGACTTTGCCAGAAGCTGACAGCCCTAGAACTTCTAGCAAACTTTGCTCTTTAGAAGCTTGTGCCCTTTTTTATAGTGTCCCATTTGGATTAATGGGAGAGGATATATTTCTGTGAAGGGTGTGGGATTTAAGTAATTATATTTTTAAACTTTCTTATTACCATAACATTCACATAACATAAAATTCATTCTTTTAATGTATGTAGTACATACATTATGTTTAGTGTTTTCAAAAGGTTATGCATCACTACTATATAATTCCAGAACACCTTTGTCATGCCCCAAAGAAGCTCTATACTTATGAGCAGCCACTGCCCATTCCCCTCTTCCATCTCCTAGGCAACCACCAATCTATTGTCTGTTTCTGTAGACTTGCTTATTTCAAACATTTCACATAAATGGAATCATATAATATGTGGTCTTTTGAGACTGACTTCTTTCACTTAGCATGCTTCTGAAATTCACCCATGTTGTATCATGTATCAGTACTTCATTCCCTTATATGGCCAAATGATATTCCATTATGGCTCTGTCAGTTCCATTAATCTCTTCATCAGTTGATGGACATTTGGGTCTTGCCTCTTCTTGGATATTATGAATAATGTAATAGGTACTTGTATTTGAATCAGAATTGTATTTAATCAGATAATTGCTAAGTGCATGCTCTATGCCAGTCATCACCTTAGGGGTGTAGGACAGAGAAGAATAAGACTGTGTCCCTGCCCTTTGGGAGCTCAGCCTAGCAGCAGAAATTCATCACATATCTGAATATCCACTATCAGGGTACAGGTAGGATGGAATGCCATAATGGGAGTGGTTTGTTTTAGCCTGTGGTGGCTGCAGAAAGGCTGCAGGGAGGATACGACCTTGTAAGGTGGCCCTTGAAGGATTGGAGGTTGGAGCAGGGGCATCCTGGATAGAAGGAATGGAATGAGCCAACGTATGGCAGTGTGCAAGAACATGAGACATTAATGGAGGGAATGATTTGCCCAAGCAGAGTTCATGGGGAGGAGAGGCTGGAAACGACGCTGGGCTGTTTCCAAATGGGAAGATCATTTAGTATTCATCGTAAGCAAAGGCTCAGATTTTGAAACAGTTGAAGGTGCATGGCTCCCCGAAATACAGTCTTTTGATCCGATTCCCTTTTCACTGGCTGACTGTAATGTGCTTCTCTCGTGTATTTTTAGGTGACCAACACCCAGATATTCCAGCTTCAGTTTCATACTGGATTCATACCATTGGAAACCACAGTGTTAAAGTTCACCAAGTGAGTGCTGCTTGAACCGAACACCCCTTTCAATATAAGCAGCTGTGAAATGCTGGAAGCCAGAGCCCAAGGCTCACCAGCTCTGTGCTGCAACACCCCTGGAACCCTGTGCTGCAGGACTAACAGTTGTTAGAGTGTAACTTAGCAACTCAAGAGAGCCCAGTTGCATTTTACAACTTGCAATTGGATATAATTTGTCTGGAACACAATAGGATCAAAGACTTGAAACAGGATGGTCTAAAATTCCTTGTGAGGGAACAAGACTGAACAAAATAGAAACAAAGTATCAATACTATGAACACTTTGCATCTATGTATCCCTTTGTGTCTTTCAATAGGGATGGCAGTTTAATCTGTGGTATGCTATGAGCGATGACCCTTTAGACACGATGCCAGGCCATAGCACTGTAGCAGGGTACCCCTCTGTACGAACTTTAGTTGCTTTATTATTATGTGGCCTTGGGAACTCAGAGGGGTGGCTAAAGCCTGGAGGATAGGGTCAGGGTAGGAGGTGGACATTCAAGAGCTCAGGATGGCCCCTTAGGGCTGTTTCATTATCTTAACAACTGACTTGGCCTTGCCTAATCTATCAGCTGTCATTCTAGAATGCCTTCACATGCAGTAGTATCCAAATTTTTTGAGTAGGCATTACTCTCCTCTTTTCTCTAGATGAGGAAAGCAAGCTCAGGACAGTAAAGTCACTTAACTGATTAATGATTGCTTTTTCCCTAGGAATGAGTCTCAGGGTCAACCTGAGTCAACCTACAATGGTTTCTGTGCTGAACATCATTCTGATCCCATTGTTTTTCACCGATCTTCTTTTAAATTCCTATGTAGACCTGAGTTGGATGCATGTGATGTACCAGAAAAATATCCTCAGCTATTTCAGGTGACTCTGGATGTAGAACTACAGCCCCATGACAAAGTGATAGACTTAACCCCGCCATGGGAACATTACTGCACGAAAGATGTCAATCCCAGCATCCTCTTCTCTTCTCATCAGGAGCATCAAGATACTCTGGTCTTGGGAGGTACGAATCCCCTGGTGATTTTATTTTGAGGGCAAAGCCTCTGTGTTAGTTATCCCTTTGACTTCTTTCCTGAGTTTCATTGATGCTGCATGGCCTTTTGTCTTGCAGGACAGGCTCCAATAGACATCCCTCCGGACAACCCCCGGCATTTTGGGCAAGGTGGCTTCTTTTCCTCTCTCTGTTGGCAAGGTACTTCCAAGCATTTTTCTGAGTTATGTGGATAGACACTTAAGTTATATGGTTCTTCTGTGAATGTGGTTCATCCTCAAAGCAGCCTCAAAGGCAGCAGCACTTAGAAGTCATCCTTATTCCTCCTTATACCTCCCTGCTCATTCCTTTTTCTTAATCAGGCAATTTGAAATTACTTCCCTACTTTCAACTCCATGGGTACTCTTAGACTGATGTAGAAAACCATTTTTAGCCGAATTCCACCTTTTCTCTCTATGCTGTGTTTTGGATCACATCTTACATGGACTTAGGAATAAGCATGACATTCTCTAGGCTTTCCCTTTATGCTGCTGACACATGAGTTAATAAAGGACTCTATCTCCTGCTCTTGAGTACATATTCTGAAAATATAAAGTCTGGCATTTCTCCCAGAGGGCTCTCATCACCAACAGGGCAGATCTAAGCTTTCCCCGGTGCAGAAAAGGCAAACACCTTGCTTATATGTGTCTGCTACATGCCTTAACAGCCGTGGCAGAGATTGGGCTCAATCACAGTATCCTTTTCTGCCAAACCTGGAGATGTATTTTAGAATCTTTCCAACATAACACTTCACACTGCTGCCGTCAGTAGACTGGCATTGGCGTTCTGTCCATATATATTTGTCTCCTTGCGGTAGAGTTTGCTGAGGTTAACTGCAAGATTCAGTGCAGAATTGAATTGCAAGGACTTTGTCTAAAAAAGGAGTAAGAAAGTAGCTTTGGCAATGCTCTGGATAAAATTCTTTTGATTCACCTTTCTTTGCTGTGTGAACGTAATGTGGTATTCCCATTGTCTTTGGAGTTTTCCATGTTTGGTGACAAAAAAGTTCACAGAATTCCTTTGAATTAAAAGCCTTACTTTCAGGGAGCCTCGGTAGCTCAGTTGGTTGAGTGACTGCCTTCAGCTCAGGTCATGATCCTAGAGTCCTGGGATTGAATCCCACATCTGGCTCCCTGCTTGGTGGGGAGTCTGCGTCTCCCTTTGACCCTCCCCCTTCTCATGCTCTCTCTCATTCTCTCAAATAAATAAGTAAAATATTAAAAAAAAAAAAAAAAGCCTTACTTTCAGAATTTCCTACTGAGAAATGGAACCAGTAACATTAAAAAAAATGGGACGCCCAGTGAAATTTAGACAGCAGGTTGACTTCCCAGTTCCCACAGTAACAAGTCCACTGCCATCTTAACTTCCTCACATAAGGGCTTTTAATAAAACTTCACTTTTCCCTCTCCACTGACATTGTAGTAAGTACTTTAATCCACTGAGCCACCCAGGCGCCCTGTAATAAGTAATTTAGAAATCATTCCTGTTAGGCTCTGAAATAGGTTTTAGCACAAATGCACAATTTCTTATCTGAACCTCACAGAACCAGAAGCATTTAGGAATTGCAAAAGTTTTCGAATTTTAGAAAGGTGATATGGTACATAAATTGTATATTACTTAGTGTCCCCAGCAGCATCTCAGACAACTTGTAATGGAACATATTCATGTTTCTGCAGTGAAACATTTAAAAAAAAAATCACGCTGGGTGAGATAAATGAAGTTTATGAATACTTTCACGTCCGTTCTGGTCAGAACTGGTTTTCCACCAGCTGAATTTGTTCCAAACTTAGGGAGACCTTTCCCTTTTCATAGATTTTTGCATTTCAGAATCAGGGATTAAAGATATGGATCTGTACTTGATTTGGAATGTGGGTCTAGCTGACATTAAATAAGGAAGTTCCTTTGGAGGATCTGTTTCAAGGAGCGCCTGAAAAGTCCCTCACCAGCCTCTCCATCCCTTCCCCAGAACAGGCTCTTCCCTGTTGTCCATCTGATGCTGACAGGGTCTAAGGACCATCCTGAGTGGAGCCTCTCTGTTTATTCACTCGTTAGGTGTGTGGCTTGCTTCCATTCCAGACTGTGGGAGGAAGGACTTGCTTTTGGCCAAAGGCCTGGAAAAGAAAAGACAGAGGAATCAGCAAAAGATTAGGAAACAGGGTTTTGTTTTGTTTTTTTTCCAAAGCACCTAGCAGTAGCACCTAGAAGATAATAATCATAATCATAATCGTAAACATGAAGTACTACTTCATATTGGCCTGAACATTTTCTGTCTATCATCTCATGTAATTCTTACAGCGGCCAGCTGAGTTAGGTACTCTTTGTCACCCCCCTTTTGCTGAGGAGGAAACCAAGGCACAGAGCAGAGGAGAAGGAAAGTAACTTTCTCAATGTCACAGAACCAGTAGGTAGTAGAGGTGGGATTCAGACCCAGCCTGTCCAGCTGTGAAGTTCCTGCTCTTTTTCATTGTGCCGTCCTGCCTTTCAAATGCCCAACAGAGGGTGATTGAATGTCATGGGAAATACATCCCGATGGCCATCGGTAAGGGTCTGAAAGCATTGTTTGCTCAGGCCTGCTCCTTCCTCTTTCTGGAGTCTGGACTGACTCTCTCTCTTCAAAACCAATAGTCCTGTGGCCAGTAACTAATTATGGGCATCTTTGCCTTCCTTAGATCAGAAATCAGAAAAATCATTCTGTGAAGAGGACCACGCTGCCCTAGTGAACCCAGAAAGTGAGCAGTCGGACGATGAACTTCTGACTCTGTCCAGTCCGCATGGCAACGCCAGTGGTGACAAACATCATGGAGCTAAAAAGCCCAGCAAAAAGCAGCAGGAGCCAGCCGCTCCTCCACCCCCCGAGGATGTGGACCTTCTGGGCCTAGAAGGGTCTGCAGTGAGTAAGAACTTCTCTCCGCCAGTGGCGCCTCCCACCAATTCTGAACTGCTGAGTGACCTGTTTGGGGGTGGAGGGGCAGCCGGGCCTGCCCAGGCTGGCCAGTCAGGGGTAGAAGATGTTTTTCATCCGAGTGGACCTGCGTCCACCCAGTCGACACCACGCCGCTCTGCCGCCTCCACGTCTGCGTCTCCAACCCTAAGAGTGGGAGAAGGTAATGTTTTCCATGTTGTGCTGTACCTCTCAGTTTTGAATGGTAACCTTGGGGCCAAGCAGGCAGTATTGAACTTTCCTAGTCAGTGAGACTTTTCTGGTCTCCCTGGTCTCCCTCTTAGAGGTCTCTTTCTCCAGTTAAATGGAGAACCCAAGAGGAAATAGGAATGTTGTCCATTTTGGTAGGACGGTGTAAGAGTGAATGTTTGAGCTCTTCATCCTTTCTTTGTTTTTTTTGTTTTTCTCAAAGCTTCAATCCCTGAGCTACTTTAGTAACTTCTGCTTGGAGATGTAGAATGATACATTGTTACTAATAATGACAGCTAATATTCATGGAGTACTTACTGTTTGCCTAACATGAAATTTAACACGAAGCATGGATTCAGTTATTATAAAAATCTGGTAACTAGGTGCTATTATTGTCCCTATTTTTAGAGTTAAGGAAATGGAGGCTTAGGGTCAAATTAGTAGCATACATTTATACATCTCATTACTGGCAGGGCCAGGGTCCAAAACTGGGCCATTTGACTTGAAAGCTCTCTCTCAGTTTTCCTGTAGTGTTTTCCTGGAATTGTGATTTTCTGAATGCACTTTGGGTACCAGAGAAGTACTTGGTTATTTCAAGCTACATTCAAGACACTTAGGCAGCAGCACTGCTGACTGTAGCCCGGCGGTTGTTTCCCAGGTGGTTCGGCTTTGCTCTGCTCATTGTTGCAGGCTCAACCTACCACTGTTCCTCGGCAGTGTTTTGAAATTTGCAAGACACTGTAGTAGCTGGGTCAGCATTTTAGCTGCCCCTTCTTACCATCGCCAGGAACCAAGATGACATCACGTTAGGAAGAGTAAAGAGAAACACCTCAGCTCTGCACTGCTGTGGTAACCTGTGAGAACTTGCTTCCCCAAGCTAATCCTGCAGTTCCCAGGGGGCTCTCGGGGTGATGTTCATTTACAGTCGTTCAGCTGGAGGTGTTCGGTGTAAGAGTGAGTCTTAAAATCATAGTATGTGGGTGTTGAGGCTCCAGCTCCTACATCAGTGATTGATGGGCCATGGTGGTACCCAGGCGCCTTGAATCTCAGGCCGTTTCCTCTCTATCTGGCTTCCCTTTATCTAGTTCTTACTCAACAAAGTGAATAAAAGATCTGTCGGAAAAAAAAAAAAATTCTGCAGGATCCAAAACACCATAGTACTCAGTCAGGTTCCAAGGCCACGCACTTTGTGTGACTTTCAGTGATTCAGTTCATCACAGTCCCGTGTAGATAGTTACATTCTAGGGTCAGAGCTACAGGGGATCTTTGAGATATGAGTTAAACCCGTGCCTCAGGTTGTAGATAATGAAACTGAGGCTAAATATATTGATTGACTTGGTCTTCTGAAACCGTTTCATATCCTGTGGGATGAAGATGATACTACTATCTGGCAGGGAGAGACTGAGAATCCGCTGAAGTATTTTTCTTTGAAGGGCAGTATAAGCCCTAGGAAATGATACAGCGTTGGTTTTGCTATATTGTTGCTGGAGGCCGCAGCTGCTTACTTTGTTCTGGTCGTCTTAGTACATTCACAGACTTTTCCTCACTTCACTAAATCTGCACCTGGTTTCTAGCAAGTTATTGAGAGGTGGTGTTCTGAGAAAGCGTTTTGAGTGACATAGCAACACTCATTTTCTCCTCTTTCTAACTTTCAAGTGAGCCAGAGACCACAAAAAACACAAAACAGAAGTTAAGCAAAACCTGGTCAGTGTGATTTTCTACTGTTCACCTTGATAGCAGAGCTCTTCTGCCTTGTCTCTGTCCACTAATACATTCAGTATGAGCACAGGCTGTTCACAGAGCATCTCCTTTGGTCCCAGCGTGATTTTGCGGGTCATTTCTGGAGGGTCCACGAGGCCCTCATTGATGGTATTTATGGGTCATCCGGCAGATCTACAGTCCTCCTTTGTCCATGAAGACATTGGTATGCCAGTCCCATTCCTGTGCAGTCCGGAATCCTCAGGTTCCACTGTTGGCCCTGGGGGAAATTGTAAGGGTAGGACGGGCCTGTGGAGTGGCCCAGGAGGCAGGCTTCATCCCTGTGACAACTCTTCAGTATTAATTTAATGAATGAACTCACAGGACAAAGAAACACAGCTTTCCTTCCATCGTCTAGGTGCCGCCTTTGACCCATTTGGAGGACCTTCTAAACCATCAGGTCAGGATCTCCTGGGTTCTTTTCTGACCACGTCCAGTGCTTCCAGTGACCCCTTTCTTCAGCCTACAAGAAGTCCTTCACCTACAGTGCATGGTAAGAACGTATTTTAATTAATTAGTTAGTTAGTTAATCTCTAAAAGATTTTATTTATTTATTTATTTATTTAGAGAGAATGTGTATGTGAGTGGGGAGAGGGGGCAGGGGGCTGGGAGAGGGAGTGAGTCATCAAAATGGCCTTTGTGGCCCTATGTGCTCTCATACCCCAGTGCTGTGACCTCATGTCCTCTCCCTCTTGCTCTCTCCATTCTAGCCTAATATAGTCTACTGGTTAGAAGATGCTTATCACCTACTCTCGGCCAGTTAGCACCCCTTTGTTTTGTCACTATACATCTTCTTTTGACCTGTGTCACGACAGTGAGTGGAAAGAGTTTTCCACTACCTTGCTGGAGAAACAATTATTCTACTGTTAGTGGGTCAGTTGCATCATCTTCATACAGGATAGCATATAGGTCAGACTGAGAGGTAAGATTTCCAACCTCTGACTTCTACAAGGTATCACCAATCTCTTCTGAAAATCAAGAAATGTTGCCGTTGAGTTCTGCAGATATTTATTGAATATCTACTATGAAGACAGCAATCACTTGGGATATATTATTGGAAGAAAAAGTAGACAACCATTATGAAAGGCAGAAATAGAAATTTAAAATACTAGGCGATTACCTTTTCATCTGTATGTTCCTACATCTTCAACAGATTCTACATTTCTTGAGGCTAGACAATGTCTTTTAGTTCTCTGTTCCATTGTGCAGTGCCTTACATATGGTGGGTGGTCATAAGGACTTGTGGGCTTGATCAGTAACAAAGCTGAAGTTCACATTTCATGAAGATGGCACCAAAGGCTAAGAAAGAAACCCCTGCCCCTCCCAAAGCTGAAGCCAAAGCAAAGGTTTTGAAAGACAAGAAGGCAGTGCTGAAAGGCGTCCACAGTCACACACACACACACACAAAAAGATCCTCACGTTGCCTACATTGTAATGACCCAAGACACTGTGTCTCTGAAGGTAGCCCAAATATTCTCAAAGGAGCACCCCTAGGAGAAACAAGCTTGATCACTATGCCATCATGAAGTTCCCCCTGACTACTGAGTCAGCCATGAAGAAGACAGAAGACAACAACACACTTACGTTCATTGTGAATGTCAAGACCAACAAGCACCAGATCAAACAGGCTGTGATGAAGCTCTATGACATAGATATGGCCAAGGTCAACACTTTGATCAGACCTGATAGAGAGAAGAAGGCATATGTTCGACTGGTCCCTGACTATGATGCTTTGGATGTTGCCAACAAAATTGGGATCATCTAAACTGAGTCCAGCTGGCTAAATCTAAATATCAAGTTTTCCACTATTAAAAAAAACCAAAAAACAAAAAACAAGGTTGAAGTTCTAACACCAATTTCTACATCCTAGTTGTGTAGAAGACCAAGATCAGAGTTTAAAGGAAATCAAACAGCAAATGTTAGCAAAATTGTTTAACTTCCACCACAGTTTTCATGGGTTACTATGGTAGAAGAGAAATAGAAAGGAAAGAACTATTATGACTGATAAGGGCATGTTCTTTTTAACTCAATGACAGGAAAGTACAAGATGTCTTAGTTGTTACTAAGTTGAGAGCAAACCTTGGTAATGGTAATTTCGGTGCTTTGATGTTTCTTTTGGTGGTGATGGGGTAATACTATTTGCCATGTAAGTTTAATGTTTACATTTTACTCACTGATTTTATGGACAGAACCTACAGGTGCCTTAAAAAGAAATTGTTTCTTATGGTCTCTTGTTTCTTACTTGGATTTTATAGATTCAGAAAAAGCTTACTCTACCAATGTGTATTCCTCTAATATACCTGATTCTCTGTAGCTGAACATTTCTTTTAAATTCTACATTTGGAATTTTGAGAGGAGTCAGAACGATCTCTCTCAAAACTGCAGTAAGTTAGTTTTGAGCAATTATGAACGATGACACTGGCATAGTAGGTGACGTATATAGTTAGTGCTCAATACATGCTCCGATTGACTCATCATTCTCCATTCAGTCACAGCAGAGGGGAAAACAAAGTTTTAGTTCTAAACCAATCATAGCTCTCATACACTTATTAATACCAACTTAAGGCAAGTAGAGTGTAAGTTTCTTTTTACCTTTTCTTGTTGGCCACTGACTTTGTGTTAAATGTAGAGGTAAAACACACAAAAATGAATAAGATAGTTCTTACCTTCAAGGAACTAGCAATTTAATGGAGACCAGACGTATGCGTAGTTATAACTCAAAGTGTGGATGGAAGTTAAATATAGGTGAGCCAAAGAAGGAAGAGAAACAAACAGTATATGGGTTCTACCAAACTGTCATGTAAGTCACCATAGATGAAGGCACAAAAATACCAGTGTTGCAGAATCTGGGAGAGCTCAGAAGCGGAGCCGAATCACTTGCGACATTGGCAGGTCATGCAGGCTTCATGGAAAGGACAGCGTTTTTCTGTGTGAATTCAGGAAAGCAGGTTCTCAGCTATTTTGTTATTATTCTTTTTCTTCTCCCCATTTGCAGCTTCTAGTACACCTGCTGTGAACATTCAGCCAGATGTTTCAGGAGGTTGGGACTGGCATACCAAACCAGGTAAAAGTCAGCAGGTTATTTTTGTGTACATTTAGCCAATTGCTAAAGCATAATCCTTTACCCGAGCTGTCTTGAGTACTTGCAGAGTATTATAGCCCACCCATGTGATTTCCTAAGACTCACCTTCTGGGGGAGCTTTTCACATGGCCTTTGGTGACATGATAGTAGTGTGTTTGATACATTATTTAACTATTCCCAGTTTCATTTGCTGAATGTGTCTTGAAAATAGAATTAGGCAAATCTGGGTATATAGCTAACTCAGCCACTTAGAAGCACTCGGATTTTTTATAAGCCCGAATCTCCATTTTTAATCTGTAAAATGGGGTTCATAATTCTTGTCCCACACAGTTTGTACAAAATCAAATGAAATAGCTTATATGAAATTTTCTGGCATAGAGTAGGTACTGAATAATCTGAGTTGTCTTCTTTCTTAACAAAGGACTTGTTTTAGTGTTGAATTTGTCTATAATAAATAAATTCTCTTGGGGCACCTGGGAGGCTCAGTGGGTTAAAGCCTCTGCCTTCGGCTCAGGTCATGATCCCAGAGTCCTGGGATCGAGCCCTGCATCGGGCTCTCTGCTTAGCAGGGAGCCTGCTTCCTCCTCTCTCTCTGCCTGTTTCTCTGCCCACTTGTGATCTCTGTCAAATAAATAAATAAAAATCTTTATAAATAAATAAATAATAAATTCTCTTTCTTATGGCTAGTATGGTATTTCTTGAGAGCCATTTTATATGATTGTATTTCCAGTCCTGTGCAAGTTAACACACACACTCATTTGCTTATCACAGCAACTTTTTGAAGCAGTTGCTATTTCCTTATTTATTTATTTATTTATTTATTTATTTTTTTTTAAGATTTTATTTATTTATTTGACAGAGAACACAAGTAGGCAGAGAGGCAGGCAGAGAAAGAGGAGGAAGCAGGCTCCCCGCTGAGCAGAGAGCCCGATGCGGGGCTCGATCCCAGGACCCCGGGATCATGACCTGAGCCGAAGGCAGAGGCTTTAACCCACTGAGCCACCCAGGCGCCCCGCTATTTCCTTATTTAACCAAAAAGAAAATTTTGAATCTCAGAGAAGTTAAGCAACATGCCAAGTTACTCAGCTAGGAAGCAGCAGAGCCAGAATTCAGATCCAGGCCCTACTCCAAACCTCATACAAAAGAATGAAATCAGGTGACCTGAGAGGTAAACACTGGATATAATAGTTCCCAGGGATGGCCAATAAATGACATTAGCCTCCTCTGTTCCCTGTCCCTGTTCCAAGCCGCTCTTCACTTAAGTTGGAGAAATAAGGTCTAGCAACTTCTAACGAACTTGCAAACCCTGTCCTGATTTGCCCTCAGAGCAAGATGAGCCATAGCTCTGGATTTCTGAATTGCAGAATTCAGCCTTGACGACTAACTCACTTTCAATCATTTTATTTCCTTTTCAGGAAGTTTTGGAGTGGGAAGCAAGTCAGCTGCCACCAGCCCAACGGGATCCTCTCATGGCACACCCACCCATCAAAACAAGCCACAGACTCTGGATCCTTTTGCTGACCTTGGGACACTAGGTATGAACTCAGCAGGTTAAGATATAAGTTGGCTACAAAGCCTTACGTCTAAATCTCTGGTGTTCCAACAAGCTGGTATCATTACCTGGGATCTGAAATAGTATGTATTCTTAATCAATACTCTAAAATCTGAGATGGGCTTTAAAACAAAAACAAAAACAAAAACAAAACAGGCTTCAAATACTGGTTGGAATCAACTGCTAGTACACCATTTCTCCAGTGCCAATTTTGGATTAGTAACATGAGTACAGTCAGAACCTTCAGGTGCTCCTGATAACAGAGTTTGACTCAGCAGAGGTAACGAACATGTCGGGAAATGCTGAATAATGAGACTGGTCACATAGATTTGTGCCATATGGGGCCCACCACGCACAGGCCCTCCTGTGATGGTACCCCTGAGACCCTCACATCGGCATCCATCTTCTCTCCACTGCCTACAGTGCTCTCTGATCAGTTCGTAAATTTCCATACAGAAAATAGACTCTCTATAGTATTTTCAAAGTGTTTTTCATCATATGTTAATTCATCGTTGCAAGATAAGTGTTCTATGAGCAAGTAATTTTGGAAGCACCAAGTTTATTGGACTTTAATTATTGCAAAAGCTTCTGAGCACGGTGATGGTGTTCATGGTGATGTTCCCCAAAAGGATACAGTTTGCAGGGTTCTCAAACCATCTCACCAAGGAACTTTTTTTTAAGGAGCAGTTCTTTGGACTAGTATGCCGTGAAACCTTTTCTTTCTCTTTTTTCCTTCTTCCTCTGGGTAGTGCGGAGTTAAATAAGGATAGAGTATCCCAGACACAAAGCTTTGAATTGGCCATGCTGATAGTTTAGGTTCTCAAGAGAGCCCTTCTTGGGGCGCCTGGGTGGCTCAGTGGGTTAAGCCTCTTCCTTTGGCTCAGGTCATGATCTCAGGGTCCTGGGAACGAGCCCTCCATCCAGCTCTCTGCTCAGCAGGAAGCCTTCTTCCCCCTCTCTCTCTGCCTGCTTCTCTGCCTACTTGCGATCTCTCTCTGTGTCCAATAAATAAATAAAATCTTTAAAAAACAAACAAAAAAGAGAGAGCCCTTCTGAAGCTTGAGAGCTTAATCGTCTGTAGGAGTTGAGAGCATGACTCCATTTTTGCCAGTAATTGTGTCAGAACCTTGACCTTCCATCATAAACTCCTTAGATTTTTTTTTTCTTTTAAGAACTCTCAAAGTCATTTTCCTTTCTTCCCTTTTCCTTTTTAATACACATTTTGAATTTTAAAATAATAATATCAGGTGAAATTCTGTGTCAAATAAAATCTTATTCACTGCTCATTTTTTATCCATTCAACAGCTGTTTACTAAGTGCCCTCTGTGTGCTAACATTGTCTTAATAAAAACCAACCACATAAAGAAAACGGAAACAAAATTCCTGCCTTCCTAAAACTTATTCTAGAAAGGGAAAGAAACAGTAAATGAGTAAATATATAATATGGTATCAAATAATAAAAAATAACAATGTTATTTTAAGTTTTACATGTATCATTCTGTTTAATCTCCTCAGTAATCTTTTGAAGTATTGGGTCTGGTATCCTCATTTTGCAGATGAGGAAACTGGGGCACAAACGATTAAGTAACACACACAAATCCCATGGGTTCAACCCCCTGAAGCTCTGGAGCTCACACTCATAAACCCCTTCTTAAGGCATATGGGAAACAAAAAAAAAAAGCAAAGAGCATGTGAATGATGGAAGGCCTGGGGTGTTATTTTAGGTATCAAGTGGTTAGGAAAGGCCTCTCTGAAGAGGTGATCTTTATAGAAGATTCTTTTTAAAACTCCAGCCTCACATTCTGCATTTAGTTGTCATGTCCTTTTAGAAACGAATCTGGAATGGTTCCTTTGCCCTTTTTTTTCTTTCTTTTTTTCTTTTTCTTTTTTTCTTTGCATGACATTGATCCTTGAGGGATATAGGCCAGGTGAGAGAGTCTCAATTTGGTTTTGATGTTAACTTTGATCACTTGCTTTAAGGGGTGTCTGCCAGGTTTCTTCATTACAAAGTTACCATTTTTTCCCCTTGTAATTGATGAGTAATCTGGAGATAATTTGAGGCTATCCTATCTCAGAATATCTTATTCTCCATCTGATTTAGCTACAGGTATTAGCAGTCATTAATGATTCTTGCCTGAAGAAGTTATTACTATGGTGGTTGTGAAATTGTGATTATCTGATTCTGCCCTTGTTTTTGTATATATTAATTGGCATTCAACTGTAAAAAAGAGTCTCTTTTTCTTTCTCTCTCATCAGATTGGACTAATGGATTTTTTTTTTAAGATTTATTTAGGTTTATTTATTTATTTGACAGAGAGAGAGAGAGAGATCACAAGTAGGCAGAGAGTCAGGCAGAGAGAGAGGGGGAAGCAGGCTCCTCACTGAACAGAGAGCCCGATGCCGGGCTTGATCCCAGGACCCAGAGATCACGACCTGAGCCGAAGGCAGAGGCTTAACCCACTGAGCCACCCAGGCACCCCAATGTATTCTTTTTTGATTCATTACTGTCATTACTTTCTGTAATGTTCACGTCTCAGATTTAGTTTGGTTTGTGAAAACTCTTTTTTTTCCCTGGCTCCTATGTCCTTTTCACTTGTGTCCGTCAGTTTTTGAGAACCTTCCTTCTTTATGGCACAATAAGATGCTCCAGGCTTGTCCTGAAATATTTGTTCCCCAGTCCTAAAATCAGTCATTCTCCAAGGAATCCTTATTCCCTTTTGCGGAGAATGGCATTTGGAAACCAAGGTCTGTGTGCCAAGTGTGTTCATTGGTACTGGCGTGAGTGTCATTGCTCTGCCTTTCAGAAGCTAGAGAGAGGAGATGAACAGGCGTAATTGAAATATAAAATCCCATGCAGTACGGCAGGACTCTTCCCTACCTTGCCCTATTCTGCACATGTGGCTTCCATTGCTCTGAATCTCAACAACACTAACTGTCCTACAACAAAAATAATTTCAGAATAACTATACTCCTATCACTACAACAACGAACCTACTGGGAGGAGTTCAGGAGTTCTTTGCCCGTTTTGAAAGATAGTAATTCTTACAACTGCTGGGAAAACTGGTTTCCTAAATTTCTTTATTTTTCAAGTCACATAATTTAGAAAAGGTAAGTGACTTTTCTAAAGCCACACAGTGAACAGGTCATAAGCAAGGTCTACAAGCCAGAATTTTTGACGCCCTGGCAATTGCTCTGAGGATTAAAATGAAACTTCCCAGTTGCATAGCTGCAGTTCAGAAAAGGCAAAAGACAGTGTCCTTCTCCTAAAGATATTTTCACATTCAGCAATTTTGATGCGAACACCAGTGCCTTAGTTTTTCCTGTAGACATTCTGATCTAATTGGTCTGGCGGTGGCCTGGGTGTAGGGAGTTTTAAAAGCTCCCTAGGTGATTATAATGCACAACCAAGGCTAATAGCCACGGCTTTGGCTTTTAATGAGGATAGCAGTGGCCTCTGGGTTTAGCCGCTGCTTTACATTTTTGTCAGTTCCCTGCTTCAGTAGCATTAAAAATTAAATTTTTGAACATGGGTAGAGAATATTCTGGAAGATTAGGCATCAGAAAGTCCTACGATGTTGATGAGCCCCTTGAGAGCAGGATCAGCATTTGCCTTTTCACTACCGTGTCTGCAGCCTAGCATGTGAAAGATGCTCGATAGTGTTTTATAAATGAATGAATAAATGGCAGTGTAATGGGAATATGGAAGCTTTTTTTTTAAAGTTTTTAGGCTTTTCCATATTTATTGAATTTTAAATTATATATATGGATATATATATATTCTGAATTTATCTATCTTATATGTATATGTATATACACACATATATATACATATATATACAAATATATATATACACATATATATACACATATATATACACAAATATATATGTATATATATATATACATATATATATATATATATTCAGAAGGAAGATAGTAAGCATCCTTAAACTGTAAAATGAAATCCCAGTGCAGAGCGAATACCCAGTCTAAGGTGTATGTGGATGTGCTGTTGACAGGGGCTCATGAAAGAGGCTTCAGGCTCTGAGTTACGCACTGACAGGGGGCAATGCCAAGCTTCAGAGATTCTGTCATTACCTTTTCCTATTACCAAGTATTTATTGAGCCCTTATAATGTATTGGTGTATACTGGGCATATGAACTTGCATCATAATATAATATGTAACGCCTTCTGATTCACTTAATTCAGGGTTTGTGAAATATTTTCATATAGCCTTTGTGTCTTTATGGTATACCTGTGATATAGATGTAGTTCTGGTTTTACAAATGAGGAAACTGAGGCTCCATGAGTTGAAGTTTTTCACTGAGCTTCAGAAGAACAAGGATTCTCTGTAGTTCGTATTCCCAGTGCTGCATCCCCAGCGCTCAGCACAGGAGATGGCACATAGATGCTCTATAAATACTGATGAGTGAATGTATGGATGTTGAATGACTAGATGGATGGAGGAATAAATGCGTTCATGAATGGGTGATAGAGCTGAGACTCAAGCTCAGATTGACTCCAAGTTATAGTGTCCATAAGGCAGCATTCCCAGTGAGGAAGGAAGAAGGAGTCCTAGATGAATAAATGGAAAAGCCTATAGGGAGAAGAGACAGTAAGGGGTAACTGGCAGTGACAGGCTCAGAGATTTGGGGAGGAATTGGGGATCCTGGGTGCAGCAAATGAGCAAGACATTTGGAGGTAGGATGCCTGTTGTCAAGCCCCAGCACTGGTAACTAGCTGTGTGATCATGAGCACATCAGGAAACGTCTCTGAGTTTCGGATTTTCTCATTGTTAAAGTGGGGTCAACACGAAAAAACGCTCAACATCACTTGGCATCAGGGAGATACAAATCAAAACCACAATGAGATACCGGTCAGAATGGCTAAAGTTAACAGTTCAGGAAACAACAGATGTTGGCAAGGATGTGGAGAAAGGGGAGCCTTTTTACGTTGTTGGTGGGAATGCAAACTGGTGTAACCACTCTGGAAGACAGTATGGAGGTTTCTCAAAAAGTTAAAAATAGAGCTACCCTGTGATCTAGCAACTGCACTATTAGGTATTGATCCAAAGGATATGAACAGTGATTTGAAGGGGCACATGTATCCCAATGTTAATAGCAGCAAAATGTCCACAACAGCCAAACTATGGGAAGAGTCCAGATGTCCACTGACAGATAAAAGGGTAGAGAAGATGTGGTATAGATATATGATGAAATATTACGTAACCATCAAAAAGAATGAAATCTTGCCACTTGCAATAATGTGGATGAAACTAGAGGGTATTATGCTAAGAGAAATCAGTCAGAGAAAGAAAAATATTATATGAGTTCATTCATATGTGGAATTTAAGAAACAAATCAGTTGAACATAGGGGAAGGGAAGGAAAAATAAGAGAATATCAGAGAGGAAGACAAACTGTAAGAGACTCTTAACTATAGAAAACTAACTGAAGGTTGCTGGAGGGGAGGTGGGTGGGAGGATGGGGTATCTGGGTGATGGGCATTAGGAGGACACTTGATGGAATGAGCACTGGGTATTATATGCACCTGATGGATCACTGAATTCTACCTATGAAATTAATAATATACTATATATTAATTAAACTAAAAATAAAAATAAATATAAAAATAAGTACTTATGGATTAAAATATAAAAACTATAAAGGGGGATCAGTAGTGCTGCCTACCTCCTTAAGAGTGTTGTATAGATTGAAAGCAGTAATATACACAAGCGTATTTTGTACATAAATGTTAGATATTTTATTATCACTGTTACTTTGGGTTTGGTGCATGAAAGATCACTATATTCCAGTTTCTCATTTTACCTCTTTAAACACAAGCCACAGCTGGTCTTTGTATTTTGGAAACAGCCCAGCATGTACACAGTGAGTACTTAAAAGTTAGGAGGTTGTGGAATCAGAATTCTATTTAGATTCCTGGCACAAACGAATAATTTTTTTAAGCTTGAGTAAGATCCTTTGCCTGGTTCAAAGTTGTCATAGCGTTGGCTGTGTTTACTCTCCTGCAATGTAATGCAAGAAGTGTGAAATTGAAACCTATTTGTGAAATTTCAGAGCATCTTTGTTTACTCTTGGGCACTAACCACGTTTGTTCTTAACAACAAACAATGATTAATCTTGATCATTGACATGTAAGTAGTAGTACCTTAGTGAGTGAACATATTTCGCTTTATTTTCTGTTCTTGTCATTTCTTAGTTTTTTTTCCGGTGAGGAAAACAGAATGTGCTTAGAAGGTGGGAGGGAGAAAAGAGATGGCACAGTGGGAAAAACTGGGGCTCTTCAGGCTTGGAGTCAAAGACCCGGATTCCAGTCTCAGTTCTGCCCCTTGCTGGCTGTGTGACTTGGAAAAAATCACCTAACTGCTCTGGACTGCAGTTTGTTTATCTGAAGAAAATGATGCGGCAATTAATACATACCTAAAAATGTCACTGTGGAGATTAAAGGAAACATATACCTGCAGTTTCTTTAACTATTAGGAAGGTTAATTGTGTTATCAGTCAAAGTAATTTCCACTAAAATCACTGAAAACAGTGCCTTGGGACAAGGCTCTTCAAAATAGCATTCCTGTCTCTTTCTCTCTTTGTTTCCGTAGGTAGTTCTTCATTTGCCAGCAAACCCACCACACCAACTGGATTGGGTGGAGGATTTCCACCTCTCAGCTCACCGCAGAAAGCATCTCCCCAGCCCATGGGGGGAGGGTGGCAGCAGGGAGGTGGCTACAGCTGGCAGCAGACACAGTCTAAGCCACAGACCAGCATCCCCCACTCGTCTCCCCAGCACCGACCCAACTACAACGTGAGCTTCTCAGCCATGCCTGGGGGGCAGAGTGAACGTGGGAAAGGATCAGCTAATTTGGGTAAGGATGATGGTGTGTAGCCTGACCAGAGGGTAGCCTGTATTGTCATACTACCTGTGTGTATGTATGTCCGAAGGAGACAGAACACAATTCCAGTGCTTTCTGAGTGAATCTTATAGTTGTAGAGACACACCATGATCCCTACCTCCCACTCTGTGCCTGAAGCACCTGGGTTTACCATGCTCTTAACACTTATGTCATTTTGTGACTGCTAGTTCACTTGTCTGTCTCTTTTCCACCTGGAGACCGGATGGAGAGCAGCGCCTGTGTCATGTTATCATTAGCACCTAGCTTAGTAGGCTCTAAATAATAGTGGATGTGAATGGAGGGGTAGCTGGTTCTTGAAGCTGTTATTCCTTTGGAAGAGGGAGTAGAAGAGAAAGTTTGGGAACCTTGCAAGCACTGTTCATATTTGCCCTTGGATCCTGATTAGAGGAGGGTGTCTGTCCTGGACATTTAGTGTTGGTTGTGCTCTGATTGGTGGATATTTCTGAGATCATTTGGTTTTCTATGATGGTTTTTCTCCTCTCTTCTGAGAAGAAAGTTAAAAGAACACAAAGTGGGCCAAGAGCTAAGGCTAGAGGATACTCTGGATAGGCCTCCTTCTTTTCTTTTTCTGAATGGGATTCTTGATAACAAGGAAAAAGTGATATATTTTGCCTAGCAGGGATGGTTAAATTTGAGTTTGTTAAACAGCCTATTATAATGTATTTTACATTTCAGTTGACCTGATCGTATTCAAGAACTAAATGTGGAGGGACATGGTGAGGAAATAGGCCTTTCTCTCTATGGAACATGGGAAAGAAAATTCTACCTTTTCTAGTAACTGTAGCTTACTGTATGTCAGGTGCTATTCCAGCCAGTTTCATATATTATTTCATATGACCTTCAAAACCAACCCCATGTCATAGATTTAAAAAAAAAATCTATGATGGAGATAAATAATTTAAGTCCATGTGGCTTTTAAGTGGCAAGGGCAAGATTGGAACCCAGGCAGTGTGGCTCCAGAACCCCTTCTCTTAACTGTCATGCTCTACTGGATATGACACAGGTGCCTTCTCAAAACAATAACATGACAGGGATTTTTGTTGTTGTTGTTGGGAATGTATAACATCATGTTTGTTCTTTGGTTAGCAGTGGATATTGCTTGGACAATTCCATAGAGCCGTGTGGCTTTCCCTCCGTTTTGTATTTTGAGCAGATGTAGGACGATTGGCTTCAGCCAGCAGATAATTATGGAGTGCTCATCTTCAGTGTAGAGAACATCGGCATTATGGCAGTGAACAAGACCGACAAATACCGTCATCTCAGAGCACTTACATTTTAGCATGTGCATGTGCGGGTGCGTCTGTCTTACAGTATAGACATGGCAAATGGGTTTCAATTCACATGCCAGCATTGATTGATGGGCATTGATGCATGGATTTCTGTGTTTGGGTTCTGTTCTGTTTTAATTTAATAAACATTTAAATAGTCAGGCACTATTCTAAACCCTTTAAAATGTTAACTTATCAATTCTCACAACCCTATGAGGTAAATGGTATTGTTAACACCATCCCTGTTTTACAGATGAGGAAACTGAGGCATATACATGATAACTGACTTGCTTCAAGATTACATTGCCAGTAAGTGGCAGAGCTATGATTAAAGTCTGGGGATCCCAGCCCCAGAGACTTTGCTCTTTGCCACCATGCTAGGCTGCCTCTCCAAACATTAAGAAGGATTGTGAAGCCACAAGCAGACTTGGTGAAAAAGAGCACTGTGCAGGACTCAGACTCTCAGCTGGGTGTGGGCAGGAAAGCAGTGGCATCCATGGACTGCAAGTACCTAAACTCAGATGTTAGTCCCATCGCTGATACTAACTAGTTGTATGTCTGCGGTGGGTGGGGGGTGTGCATCACAAGTATCCTCAGCTATGAGAAGATGATGCAAGTGGGAAAGGTGTTATGGAGTTGGATTTAGTCTAACAATCCAGCCTGGAGTCCTAACTTTGCCATGGATATGGTCTTTGATTCTGGGCAGATCTCTTAGGTTCTCCAGACCTCATTTTCCTCATCTGTCACATAGGCATGAGAGTCTCATACCCTGTTCATTGGGTAAGTATAAGGAGTAAGAGGATTAATGCATGTGAAAGCACCTTGGAGACCTTAAGTGTTATGAGGTGATAGGATTTTGTGTTTAAGAGTAAAATTATAATGATTTTTTAAAAAATTCTGTTGCAGAAGGAAAACAAAAAACAGCTGACTTTGAAGACCTCCTTTCTGGTCAAGGTTTCAATGCACACAAAGACAAAAAGGGGCCTCGAACAATAGCTGAGATGAGAAAGGAGGAAATGGCTAAGGAAATGGATCCTGAGAAATTAAAGGTGAGTGAGCCCCTGGCCCAGTGTGATTATTTGGTGTGACAGTCTTGTGAGAAGTTCAGGGGGTGTGGAGCCATCAGTGTTCCTGGTTCCTGGCTTCCTCACTGCTTCCCTCCACTTTCTACCAGAGCAGTTCTACTTTTATCTGTTTTGATTCTAGAAGTCTAGGTAGCATTGGATTTGGGGAAAAAGAATATTTCCCCATTAAAAAAACAATTATAAACCAGGTACTCCTGATTTAGCCTGGAAACCAAAGGGTGGTTACGTGGATAAATTGTGTGAGGTAGTGGAGAACAGGTCTGTAAAAGATCAAGAGAACTGGAATGTTCTCACAGATGGAGTGGTTGAATTCCTACCTGACAAAATATGCTGACACTAGAACTAACTGGGAGATGGCGCTCTAATCTGTTACCGCATTAAAGGATCTCCAGAACCAGGATTAGCACAGCCAGTCCATTTTACACATTTTGAAAAAATGTAACATATTTCCAGACAATTTGAACATTTGTTTAAGATCTATAGATCCTTGGATACTCTTTTTTTTTTTTTAAATCTTATTTATTTGACAGAGATCACAAGTAGGCAGAGAGGCAGGCAGAGAGAAAGGGGGAAGCAGGCTCCCCACTGAGCAGAGAGCCCAGTGGGGGGCCAATCCCAGGACCCCGAGATCACGACCCTAGCCGAGGCAGAGGCTCAACCCAATGAGCCACCCAGGCGCCCCTTGGATACTCTTTTGAGGGCAATATGGGATCCTTTGTTGGCATGCTTGCCTTTTTATTTCAAGTAACACCACAGAGGTTTCATTTTTCTTGCAAAACTCTGTGCTTCATCTCAATAACTCTGTGCTTCATCTCGGTTTGTTCATAGGCAAATTCTGACAGCTTTCTATGAAAGAAAGTGGTTTAAGTCTTTTAAACTATGGTTGGTTATTTAGCTGGTACAAGGTATTTAGTTGCTTGGGAGAGTAGCCATCCTTCACCTTGGCTAAGCCATCACTCATCAACAAATACCCTCTGAGCATCTATTATGTGCTAAATGCTGGTGCATTCTTACAAACCCTTCAACATAATCACCTCATTTGCTCAAACTGAGAATATTCAGATTATAAGCATTCATATAACTACTTGGATTCGTTCATTTGATAATTTCTGAGCAGTATTTTGAACCAGGCATGTTATTTGGCTCTTGAGTTCCACTGATGTATAAGAAACAGTACCTTTTCTCAAATAGCTCTGCGTAGTGGCAAAGAAAGGTGATTTCGATAAAGTATCACATATATTATGATAGAAACATGCTCAAGGGATTAGCTCAGAGAAATGTGTTCTTTTTTTCAAGGGATATTTATTTGGTGTCTGTCTGCCAGACACTACACTAGACAGAGGCAGAGAGCAGAGACCAAAGTAGACATGGGTGTGCCCCCACGGGGTCCAGGCTTTAGAAGTGGGATTAGCTCCAGGGGTGGGGCCAAGAGGAAGGAATTCAAGTTGGCAAAGGCAAACAGTACAAAAGTCCTGAGCAGGCTTTAAAAGGATGATGAAGGGTCAGCCAGAAAGACAAGTTAGGAGATGGATGTGGAAAAGGATCCCAGGTTGAGGAAACAGCTTGGCATATGCACGGAGTCCCAAGTAGTTGAGCCCCAAGTAGTTGATGTCGCTGAGGCAGGAGGGGTTTCCAGAGTCTCGATGGAGACCTTGGGGATTGAAACATTTGAATTTCCTAATTCCCTCTGCGTTGACAGATTCTGGAATGGATTGAAGGCAAAGAGAGAAATATCAGAGCACTTCTGTCCACGATGCACACGGTGCTGTGGGCTGGGGAGACCAAGTGGAAACCAGTGGGCATGGCGGACCTGGTAACACCTGAGCAGGTGAAAAAGGTGTACCGGAGGGCTGTGCTGGTGGTGCACCCGGATAAAGTGAGTATAACCTGCCCTTGATGAAGCAGGAGGAATGAAATTATACAATACAACACAGCAATGGAATGAGGGGCCTTTACTAGGTGTATGATTTACCGCTGTGTAATTTTTAGGGATCAGATGTAATTTGTGTCCTGGCTTACAATAGTAAGGGTAGGCTAAGAGCTGGACAGAGGAAAAATTTTCTCTTGTAGAGATATGGCAGTATGTTTAGCTGCAACTCTAGGGGAAGAGCTTTAGCATGTAGTTGGCAAAATTGTTGGGAATCAACAAAGTATTCAAAATGGACCTAAAATCGTCATTCTGTTGATTATGCCAGTTTATGTTTTCATGGAAGTATATACACATATAGGTGCTCTCCAATGTCAGAAATTACCGCATGGCCCCGGTTGAAATCCTCATAAGACGAAGAAACATCTTAGACAGAAGTGAGTCACCTTGCTGTCATATAGACAAACTTGGTTTTATTTATACCAGCCCTGTTATATGAGGCTATGGTTGAATTTCATATATTTGATTTTCATTTCTCCATACTTTTGATGACTAGTGTGAAGAAAAGAATTAATCAGAAACAATGCGTTTCAGTGTATCAAAAGAGAAAGAGGAACAGGAACCTAGGAAAATACACAAACCCTACACCTATGTTATGGGTTTCCAAGAACTTAATTTTTTTTTTTTAATTGGGAAATAGAGGAGTTTAGTAATACAGTCAATTATAGATAGGCTATCCTGAGCCTTTGTCATTGGTAAGTACTTCTGGAGAATGGGTCCATCTTTCACTACTTAGTAAGTGCTCTGTATCTACTCATTCACGGACTACTGTTACCGGATGTCAATGCCTAAGGGGAGGGTTTGGGGAGGCCATAATCATTAGGGTCACATCGATTGAACTATAAAAAGAGAAACAGCCTAATAGAAAAACATTTCAATTACTTGGAGCCCCCCTATTAGCAGTGAAAATTGTAATACAAGTAAAATCTTGGTCTGTAGTATGTAATGCGTTATTTTATTTTTTTCTACAGGCTACCGGGCAACCCTATGAACAATATGCAAAGATGATTTTCATGGAGCTCAATGATGCCTGGTCTGAATTTGAAAATCAAGGTCAAAAGCCCTTGTATTAACTTACGAGCTTTTGCATCTCTGCGGCAGACCTGTGCTAATGCTTAGTGTGCGTCACAATTCTGAAGTTTTCACAGGTGAACCCAAAACTCCAGTAACATGTTTCCAGTACTAAACTGTTAAATTACTCGTGAATTAATTCCTCACTGATAAGGATTGTGGATGTTTGTTTCCTCAAGTCCCCACTATAAAAAGTCTAAAGCAGGGGAGGGACTTTTAGTCAGTCGACCTTGTGGAGTTACAAGATTCCAGCCTGCCCTCTGGGGAGCTGACTCAGCATTTTGTGGGGAAATGGAAAACAAAGGCCACCAAAGGCATAACACCCATCCCATTGTCTGAGAACAGGAATAATGAGCAAAAGCTATGCTAATTGGATTACATGATGGATTTTAACTAATGGTTTTTAGATTTTCTTGGAAAGATGTAATTTCAGCCATGGCTTTACATAGATTCTAGGAACACGACCACTGAGTATTTTATTTTTCTGGAAATTTACAATGGTCTTTAGCATAATACTGTATACTTCTTTTGGTCAAGAGGACTAACTCATGTAAAAGAACTTGAACTGTGGAAAGTGATTGTATTACAATCCAGTGATTGCCAACTCTTCCTGGATAAGCTAAAACTTAATGGAAATGCTGAGTGAAGAAAACAGGGACACTGTGGAGATAGAAATCTTTGTTCCTGGTCAGAAAGTTGGGCTGCTACCTTCCTCTCCCTTTAGAAAACTGTGGTTGCTTAAAGAAAATGTCTTAATGATGTAACTTCAACTCTAAACCTAATTTGAAAGAAATTTACAATTTTGCCATAAGGCTTCATGCTCTTCCTTTTGCTTAAGTCAGGAAAATGTTCTTAGCTGGAAATAGGTTGCGAGGCAGTTTGGCACAGTCAGAGTGTATCAGGCCTGATACCACGTGAGGAGTCCCTGTCCTCTAGGTTTGTGAGCGGTTGTGCTGAGGGTATAGAAAACCCACACTGAGGTAGGCGCAGTGGCGGGGCGGGGCGGGGCGGGGCGGGGGAGGTGGGGAGCTGTGCTTACCTTCTCACCAAGTCAGGTGGGGGCTTGTCAGGATTTGCTTGGAGGAACTGTGTCCTCCTCCCACCTATTGAAACTGGATCCTTGGATTCTTACAGTGGGTTTATTGTTTTCAAAGTAGCTGGGGGTCCACAGAACAGCATACACACAGGGACATCTGTGAAAGCAAAGCCAGAAGGAGACCTTTGCAGACTTCACGCTGGTTGGATTTCAGTCCAGCGTTTTGGCTGTTTCTCATTTTGAGGGCTCAGCAGTTGCTATCCCGTGACTTCAGGAAGTCTCTCTGGGTGTGCACATACACAAAGGGCATAGTATATCTATGCAAAGCAGATGGGCAAAAAGATTTCCATGCTAATCTTAAAAGGTTCCTGCTCAATATTGTGAAAAGCTTTCAGAAGTTGTTTTTAAAAGACAATCATTTTTTTGTTTCCATTTTCATTTTCTTGTGGCAAACTGTACCAGAAAAGCAGCATGTCAGAAATACTTTACGTTCTATATAGAACTCGTTCTTTCTTGCTTGCTCACTCACTTTCTCTTCCTTTTTTGTTATGTTTGTTATTTATTTTACTCTTTATTGACAATGTGAAACTTGCAGAAAATGTTCTCTTTTTAAATATACAGCTGTAAACTGTTCAAGGTAACCATAACAAACTAGGTGTTATTTATTAACGTATAATGAAATAATGTTTGATCCAGTATGTGCTTGTCTTATTTAAAACTGGAATGTGAGACATGTTGCTGTGACCTGGTTTTTTTTTTTCTTTCTTTCTCATTCACATTTGTAGATATTGTGTGAACTACAGTATATAATGATAATAATTAAAAGGATATTATGTGAATGTCACGTACATTTTGAAATGATAGAACTATATTAGCTTTGTATCATGTTTGGGTAATTCATCAATGTTCACAGTATAAAACATCATTAAACATTATGTAATTAGCAATGAGAAAGAATCTTACCTAACTTATTAAATTTGGGATCTCCTTCATCTCTCTTCCAGATACATTATAATTCTGGACTCCTATTTATCTCAAAACTCTTAACATATGCAGACCAACAGGTTTTTGCATTCCTTTTAAATATCTGGTTGTGACAAAGCTTGTTGTTGATCAGATTCACTGTTTCATTCATGTTTATTGTAATATATTTTTTGTTTTGTAAATATGTTACACACAACAAAATGTGATTGGTCTAAAATATTTGTAATGTATATTAAAAGGCTCAAAAATATTTGTAGAAACCTAAGTTATTTTTGCACTTATAGGAATTTAATGACAAGTTTGAGTTATATCTTCTGACACGATTCACTTTTAAGAAAAGTTATGGGAAAAGAATATGAAAAGCATCTAATACATTTGCACCAAAATGTGATCTGAGAGGATTTCTGGATTTATACTTTAACCACCCTCATCCCGCCCTTTCCCCTTACACATGCACACACGCATACACACACACACACACTTACTTTGGATCATGCTCTGTAAATACTATGTTTCAAAAAGAATCAGCAGAGAAATCCTGGTCTCCTAGATAGAATATTAGTGGATATTCAAAGCTGTGTTTGTATGCTGAAGCAAAGGAATTAATCCTGGGAGTCTGGGACCTTATCAAAAGCAGTTACAGCTGACCCCTGAAAAGTGCGGGGATTAGGGTTTCTTACTCCCCCCCATGCAGTTAAAAATCAATGTATAACTTTTGGCTTCCCCCAAAACTTAACTACTAATAGCCTACTTCGTTGACCAGGAGCCTTACTGATAACATAAAGTTGATTGACAGATATTTTGTGTGTGTGTGTGTGTGTGTGTGTGTATAAAATACTGTATAATGTATAATGTTCTATATTACAGAATACTGTATTTGTACAATAAAATAAGGTAGAGAAAACAAAATGTTACAAAAATCACAAGGAAGAGAAAACACATTAACAGTACCATGCTGTCTTTATTGAAAAAAATCCATGTATAAGTGGACCTATACAGGTCAAACCTATATTGTTCAAGGGTCAACTCTATTTTAGTTCTTTAAGTATAGAAGTAGCATGTTCATTTGGAAGCACATGCTGCAAATCAAAAGCATTTGAATCATCCCTGTACTGTCTCTGTCTGGAAGAATGTTCAAGTTGGATTGATGGAGTGGTATTACACTGATGAAACACCACTGTGTATGGAGTGAACACAAATGTTGAATTCCAGAAACAGTTAATCACAGCAACAAGACACTTTCCCTGCTGGAAACATCTATGAGGGAATTTAGGTCAAGTAAATATGTTTTGGTTGTTCTAAAGATAAATCATGGAGTTTGGCATAATGGTACAGTATTGGTTTGAGATCAGAAGACTGTGTTTTAAATCCTGGTTTTTCTACTTAAGGACTGTCATACTTGACAAGTTTCTTAAACTAAAGCTTAATTTTATCACCTGTACAATAGAGGTAATGGAGGAATTAGGGGCCATATATAAACTGCTCTCAAGTGAGTACTCATAAAATAAGAGCTGTTGTCATTGTTACTGAGAGTCTGTAGGACAAAGTAGATCACTGCAGGTCACTATTGGTGCTGGAATTACAGTGAAGCCTTGGGTTATGGGGAGTGAATAACACAAAAAGAAAAAAGGTTCGAGAGAAACTTGTGCCTTTGGCCCTTATTTCTGTATCTTTGGAATGACAGAGATCTGCCCGCGTAAAATGGCAGAGATTTGAATTATAGGTTCTGTAAAGGGAATGGCTGTGTGGAAAGAAGCTGTGGTTGAGAGTTAGGGAGGGAAACTAACGTTGCTGATTTCAGTGGTTGCATCACCTGTGGATTTGACTTAAGCACTGATTCAAGAGCCTACCCCAGAGCAGATGGGGTCTGTCTTGCATGCATGGCCCTAGGTGCTATGACACATGTTTCTCATTTAATTCTCAAAAAGTTCTGAGGGGCAGTTTTGTAAATTTATCATGGAGACATTTACCCAGATCTGGGGTCTGAAAGCTCTATCTTTTCTGTAGGATAGGGAGAGATGGTACTACGGATAGTGAACTTACTAATTTTTATTAATTCAACCAATATTTTGTGTAAACTGAGTGCCAGTTGCTAATAGATACGTAAGGGAAAATGAAAATGAATAAATGGGTTTGACTGCCCTGTAAAACATAGGAGGTTGCTGTTCTTCTAATTACTACAGCAGATTTAGAGGGAGTAGTACGAGTGCTGACTATCTGCCTGTAGAGTTGGACGGTTTTGGGTTTTATCGCAGCTTCTCTATGCACTAGTTACTATTTGAGCCTCAGTTTTCCCATCTGCAAGATGGAGATAATATAACCTAGTTCATAGTGTGAGGGGATTGAATGCCAGGAGAGAATATGAAAGTTTATCTAAAGGGGTTCACTGAAGTCCTGGGCAGCATGACAGAGGACATGGATCTTCCACATCCAAGTCGTGGGGTAGGATTCAGCTTCTAAGGTTTTACGTTCTTTTTTGGTGACTCTTTTTTATTTTTTTTAATATTTTATTTATTTATTTGACAGACAGAGATCACAAGTAGGCAAAGAGACAGGCAGAGAGAGAGGAGGAAGCAGGCTCCCTGCTGAGCAGAGAGCCTGATGTGGGGCTCGATCCCAGGACCCTGGGGTCATGACCTGAGCCGAAGGCAGAGGCTTAACCCACTGAGCCACCCAGGTGCCCCTTTTTGGGTGACTCTTTTATTCTTGAGGAAACATGGAATGGTTAAGTGGAAGAACAATTTTTTAGTGCACCAGCTGGCAAAAGAAAATCAGATATTCTCAGGGGATAGTTAAAGCCTTTAGAAAGAGGCTTTCTCTTTTAGACTGTTTAGTAAACTGGAAAGGACAGATGGTGTGGCCAGGAACCTTGTTGGGAATTGCAATATTATGACTTAAAAGAAGTATATATCTGATCATTTAGATGAGCAAAATATATTTTTTACATATATTTGGACTTCATCCACAGTTCCTGGCCCACAGCTCCCGGCCCACAGCTCCCAAAACCCTTGGAATTTCCTTAAGTGTAGAGAAGGATAAAGATGTCTTTTGTTAATAAGGTGACTTTTGGAAAGAAAGATCTGGGCTGGTTGCCATTGTAGCCAACCACGTTTTTAAGAGGGTTGGCCCTTTCAGTCTGACCCCATGACCTCCAGGGAGATGAGAGGGGCTGGAGGATGAATCAGTTGCCAGTGGCCAATGATTTAATTGATTATGCTTATGTAACGAAGCCTCCATAATAACCCAGAAGGACAGGGTTCAGAGAGCTTCCGGTTGGTGAACACTTGGAGATGTGGACAGAGGGGTACACCTGAAGAGGGCATTTATGCTCAGCATCCTTTCCGCACACCTTGCCCTATCCATCTCTTCCAGCTGGCTGTTTCTGAGTGATTGCTTTTTATGATAACCTAGTAATCTAGGAATCAAAATGTTTGAGTTCTGTGAGCTACTGTAGCAAATTAATCAAACAGGAGGAGGTCCTGGGAACCGCTGAGTGATAGCCAGTCATCAGAAATACAGGTAACAACCCAGACTTAACAACCAGTGTCTCAAGTCCAAGGTAGGTCAGAAGCATAGGTAAGAACCTGGCTGTGACTGGCGTCAGAAGGTGAGAGGTGCGGAGTCTTGTCGGACTAAACCCTTAGCCTGTGGAATTTGATGCTATTTCCAGGTACATAGTATAAAAATTGATCTGAATTGTAGGACACCCTGTTGGTGTCCAAGAATTGCTTGGTGCTATATGGGAAGAGTTTCTACCCCACCTTCTCTTCCATCCCCACCCCCCCACACACACACACTTGGAAATTAGGTCCAGGAACCTAGTTTAGGGACGAATACCATCTCTGCATTTTTCTGATTCCAGACATTACCCCTGGGCAAACACCTCATCTTTTTTCTTCCCACCATCTTTCAGTTGCTAAGCCTAAGGCACTCAAACCAAGCTGTGCCTCTTAGATAATGTCACTTTTCCCCAAAATCAGTTCCCTTCTGTGGGACTGGCCTCAGACTGACTTGGAAGGCTCCAGCAAACCTTTATATATGGCTTTCAGATACCTAATGGATGCCTGGGAATAGAAAGGGAAATGGGGAGATTTGACCCCACAGAAAATCCTTATCACCTGGGTGGGGTGGTGGTGGAAAGCCTGAACTTTCTTATGAGAGCAGCTTCGCACTACGGTAAAGGAGCTAAAAAAGACTAATAGGCGGTTTCCCTGAATGCTTTAACAGGTATTAGAAAGAATATGATACTCAAAAGAGGGAAAAAGACATTCTCAACAATCTTAAGAAGATTGCCGGCTGTAAAGCAGAGCACCATGGAATTCTGGACCTTCAAGGGTCTGCACGGAGCTGGGTATTAGCAACACCATGTTTTTAATAAGTGTACCTTCCATCTATGAGGAGAAATGGGAGGGGCTAGAAAAAAATTCACAGATAAACGTGTGTTGAGACAATAACACATTCATTGTACAGTTTTGAAAAGGTAAACTGAATGGGGATCTTGAAAGGTGGTGGTGGTAGTGAGAATTTGTACTTCTCAGGCCGCCAGGGGAACCCCTTTATCTTTCAGTCTTTGAAAATTAGGAAAAAGCAGTAGAAAAGGGGCAGTAGTTCGCAGCTACAATGAGGTGTAAACGGCCTGTAATCCAACCTCCAAAAAGCTGGCAAGCCCTACCTTTTCTGAGCCTCTTTCCACAAAGGTAAAATAAAGCACTGGATCAAATGGCGTTTGAGGCTTCTTCCAGACTGGCCCCACCAAGACAAAAAACTCTCCATTCCCGGGAGGAAAAGTTACAAAATGGTCCCATGAGGTTTAAACTGGACTTGGTTACCTGCAGATTTTGAGTCCTAAGGTGTAAAAATAGTATTTATTTAAATGTTCATTAAAGTTTCAGACGCAAAAGATTATTGGTCTTTGTCTCTCTAAACCAGGATGTAAGGGAAAAAACTGTGTTTAAAAAGTGTTAAAGTTAGTATTAAGCAAGGCAAGTCCATGCAAATGCCAAGATCTTCAGGAGGGAGGTCTCCTCTGGGCCTTTTCTCTTCTGATGCTCCCATCTGCTCGGCTGCAGTCCTCGTCCGGTAAACGCAGATCCGCGCGCTCACGCGCGCACACACACACACACTCACACGCGCGCGCGCACGTGAGGGCTCAGAGAATAATGCTGCTCTGTAAGTGGGTGTCCCTTCCTTCCCTACCGACTGTAATCCCCCCCCTTCCCTCTCCCCACCTTCTCGTTCTCCACCCTCACGCAGAGGGTGGTTTCTTGGTACAAGGAACCTGCTACAAGGTTCCTTGTAGCCAGGAACCGCGCGCGGTACCTGCACTGGGTGGGCTGCTCTGGAGTGTCTTGCCCCGCGGACCCAGCGGTGCCGGAGGAGCCGAGGCCCCAGCCGACGGACTGAACGAGAGAACGTGGGGCGGGTTCGGGGATTACACCTAGGGCTCAGGATCTAAGAGGAGGGCTCCGGGGGCAAGACCGGGTTTACACGGTGACAGCAGGTTTCCAGTGCAAGTTCCGTACCTGGATCACGGGATGGGGCGGGACTCCGCGAGCTGGAGACCGGGTTACAGGCGAGATGGGCGGGCTCTGCGTGGCAGGCGTGAGCTGGGGACCCACAAGGGTCGGGTCTGAGAGAAGGGGCCCACGCGGTCGGGAACGGTGGGGGTGGGGCTCTGAGTAGCGAAAGACCCCAGCGACTGGGCTGTAAGTGCATGGAGTGAACTTGGAAACCACCAGGGACTGGCATGAGCAGGACGGATCCTGGACAAATAGGGGCGGGGCTGTGCGTGTCCGGGAGGGGAAGATCGTGACCGTTAGGGGCTCGGCGTGGCTGAGCTTGGAGAAGCAGGGGCGGGTCTCCGAGTGGGCGGGGAGGATCGGGATCGGCAAGGGCGGGGCTCTGCGAGGACTCTTGGAGAAGCAGGGGCGGGGCTCCGGGTGGCGGGGCGGGGCTCTGCGGCGGGTCTTTGACCGGCAGGGGCGGGGCTCCGCGTGAAGGGGCGGGCCGGGGACCCGCGGTGCGGTGCGGGGCTGGGTCTGGGCGGTAGCCGGGCTGTGGCAGGAAGCCGGAAGCAGTCGCGGCCCCAGCTCGGGAGACATGGCGGGCGTTAAAGGTACAACCGTGGCCCCCCAGCTCGCTCCCAGGTCCTGCGGTGGGATGTCGCTTCCGTCCCGGGCTAAGCCTGGAGCTGCGCCTTCAGCGCGTGGGCGGGGAACGGCATCCCCTAGGCCCGCCGCGCTCCCCGCCTCTCCTGGGGGGTGGGGGAAGTTCGCCCCCTCCCTTCACCCCGCGGGGTGCGGGTGTCATCGCGCTGGTCTTCACGCTCCCGCTTGGATCTCCGGCCGGAGCCAGGAGCAGTGCCTTCCTGGGACACCCGGGTTAACCCAGAGCATCACCTCCCGGCTCCTCAGCTCCTCGGAGCGGCCCCCGCCCCCACCTCTGCCGAGTTTTTAAACAGCCTGGATTTCCACTTCCTGACATGTCCACCCTAACGCCTCTCCTCCCTCTTCCTGCAGCTCCGCAGTTTCGCGTTTCCTCCAGAGCAGCCATTGTCTCTAGTCTTCTCGGCACCGGGGCTCCTAATCCTCTCGGTACTGATGATTTTTCCAGTTGAGCAGAGGTGACTGCAGGCAACGGAAGGCCCCCAGAAATTCTGCATATTTCGTAGATGTGGAGAATAGATTAGTGGAAGGTTATCGTTACTTTCTTTAGTGTCTCTCTATGGACGGACAAGAAAGTAGTGTTCGCACAGTGTTTTTTTTGTTTTTAAATGGGGCAGTTCAAAAGGGGTGGCAGCGGTGGGAGAGGCTACTGGAAGGCTTCCTTTTTGTGGGAAACCATTCGGATTTCTAATGTTTGAATAGAGTAGTGGAACTTGTTTCTATATTGGAATTACCGTCCTCTTTAGAATTTGTACCCAAGGTTCTTCCCAGTTAATCAGCATCTGCTATAAACATGTGTAGAGTATATTTGCATGCATGTGTGTGCACGCTGAAATTTAGGTGAGTATGTGACCTCTTAGCGGCAGACACATGTTATCATTATTTCTGGCTGACTTTTATATCAGTTTAGTAAATACGGTTTACTTGGACGATGTCCAGTGTGTGACATGTCCGTTTGTAGCCAATGCAAAAAACAGGTGACAAGTAGTATCTCAGTACTGCACTGTGCTGTTTAGTCATACCCCCAGACTATCAAATAATAAAAATGGTTATGTGTGAATTTGTTAGAAATTGTGTTGCAGTGAAAAAGAAGGTAGAGTATAAAATGGAAAAGAACTAAGGAAAAGAAGGATTTTACAGATACTCACCTTTTATTGAGAGACTGCTCTATGCCTATGACTTGGGATAAAAGTAATTTTGGGGTGACAGAACTGGAAATAATTATATTACTGTTGAAGTGTCCAAGGTGTGCTTAGATAACAGGAGGAGCTAGAGATGGTGTTACAAATTGAATTGTATCCCTCAAAAGAAATGGTCAAGTTCTAACTCCCCAGTACCTGTGAATGTGACCTTATTTAGAAATAGGGTCTTGGCAGATATTATCAAGTTAAGATGAAACTGGATTAGAGTGTGCCCTAATCTGATGACTGGTGTCCTTATAAAAAAGGAAATTTGCATATAGAGACATAGGGAGGTCACCACAGGGAAACAGAGGCAAAAACTGGAATGATGCAGGTAGACGCCAAGAAGCACCAAAGAGGAGTTAGGAAAAAGCAAGGAAAGAGTCTTGCCTTAGAACCTTTGGAGGAGGCATGGCCCTGCCAACACCTTGATTAGAGATGTCAAGCTTCCAGAACTGTGAGAAAATAAACTTCTGTGGTTCTTTTTTTTTTAAGATTTTATTTATTTATTTTACAGACAGAGATCACAAGTAGGCAGAGAGGCAGGCAGAGACAGAGAGGGAAGCAGGCTCCCTCCTGAGCAGAGACTCCGATGTGGGGCTTAATCCCAGGACCCTGAGATCATGACCCAAGCTGAAAGCAGAGGCTTTAACCCACTGAGCCACCCAGGCGCCCCTAAACTTCTGTGGTTCTAAAGGGTCTACTTTGTAGTACATTGTTAATAGCTGCCCCAGGAAACTAACACAAATGGGATTACTTAACCCTGCTCCTGGGAGAAGGAGGCAGCTCTCACAGAAGAGCCAATTTTGCATTGAATCTAAAAAAGTCGGTAAGGGAGAGGCTTATTACTAAGGAAGGAGCAAGGACAGAGTTTTTTCCAAGTGGAGAGAACATGTCCCAAACAGCTTGCCGGCCGTGAGAGCAGCTGTGAATGGGCGACACCATCTCTATTTGGGAGACCACTGTCTGCTACGTGGAGGCTGGATTGGAAGAGTCATAGTCGCAGGCAGGTGTTAGATGGTGAGGGTCTGCACTAGGGCAATAGCAGAGGGTTTGGGAGAAGAGGGCGGACATCTCAGTCCTTTAGGGCTGCTCTGACAAAAATGCCAGAAAACTAGATGGCTTCAATAGCAAACATACATTTCTCAGTCCTGGATCCTGAGAAGTCCAAGATCAGGGTGCCAGCAGATTCAGGGTCTGATGAATGCCTGCTTTCTCATTTACAGGCAGCTGTCTTCTCACTGTCCTCACATGGAAGAGAGGGCAAGGGATCTCTGGAGTCCCATTTATGAGGGCACTAATCCCATCCATGAGGGCCCCTCCTGAATGACCTAATCACCTCCTAGAAGCTTTAAATACCATCACATTGGCACTAGGGTTTAACATGAATTTGGGGAGAGGACACACTCAATTGGTTTGTAGCAGTAGGTTTGAGTGACATCTGGGAGATTGAGTCACCTTGAATTGCTGATTTTTCTCTTAAGAGTGTGATGATGGTGTTGGTTGGTCTTTCAAGATAGAACTTAAAGGAGCACCTGGGTCGCTCAGTCTGTTAAGTGTCTGCCTTCGGCTCAGGTCATGATCCCAGGGTCCTGGGATGCAACCCCACATTGGGCTCCCTGCTCAGTGGGGAGCCTGCTTCTCCCTTTTCCTCTGCATGTTGCTCCCCCTGCTGTGCTCTTTCTCTGTCAAATAAATAAATAAATAAAATCTTTAAAAAGGTAGAATTTAAAGGGAAGAAATGTGTTTGAAAGGAGAGGGTGGGATGTTTCAGTTTTACACATGTGTCCTGTGCTTTGGGTTTATACCTTTAGCAAAGAACGTTGCTAAGATGAGCAGATATCTTTGTCAGGCAACATTTATTCATGGAGCACCTCCTTTTGCTAAACACTTCATATAGATTATCTCCTTTACTTCCCATCAGCTCCGTGATAGGGTGGCACCATTATTCCCATTTCACAGGTGAGAAATCAGATTGAAAGCTTCAGTTTCTCTCCAAGGTCACACAACAAGTTGGTGGCAGTGTTAAGATTTGAACCCTTGTTGGTGACTCAGAGCTCAAGATTTTTTAACAGCCCTGATACTCTGTCTCCCACTCAGCAGTGTGACAAGGACAAATTCGTTCCTACCCCTTCAGAGATTAGTGTTGAACAGACGCAGGGAATAAATATTTTATTCAGTGGATGCTAGTTGGGAATCATTTTCTATGAAGACATGAAAGCAGTCTTCAGATACTTGGAAGTACTGTGGTTGGGGAAGGCAAAATGATCAAAGGATATGTATATTACAGTGAGGCACTTTTGGATATAATTTAAAGAAAGGATTTTCAGCATTTGGATGGTGTCAGAAGGAGATGATCTGCCTCTGGCGGCAGTGAATTCCAACTGGAGTTGTGCAGACTGGCTGGCTAGCTAGCCTCTTGTGACGAATAGAGGGGATTTATAAATTAGATAGGGGTTGGGAATTCTTGAGATTATTTCTCACTTAATTTTAACATGGTGGGCATAGGCAGTCATTTGCCAGTCAAATGCGATAACAACTAATGAAATAGGTAAATCACTATCTTTGCTTAAATTGGGGACCTTTTAATTCTTTCTAAAGCACATACTATAAAATTAGCCCTTTTAAAGTGTAAAATTGGGGGCACCTGGGTGGCTCAGTGGTTAAAGCCTCTGCCTTCGGCTCAGGTCATGATCCCAGGGTCCTGGGATCGAGCCCCGCATCGGGCTCTCTGCTCAGTGCAGAGCCTGCTTCTCTCTCTCTCTCTGCCTGCTTCTCTGCCTACTTGTGTTCTCTGTCTGTCAAATAAATAAATAAAATCTTAAAAAAAAAAAATAAAGTGTAAAATTGGGGGCACCTGGGTAGCTCAGTTTGTTAAGCATCTGCCTTTGTGCTTAGGCCACACCGGGCTCTCTGCTCAGCTGGGAGCCTGCTTCTCCCTCTCCCTCTGCCTGTCACTCCCCCTACTTGTGCTTTCTCTCTCTCTGTCAAATAAATAAAAAAAATTAAAAAAAAAGTGTAAAATTCTATGGTTTTTAGTATATTCACAAGGTTGTACAGTCATCACTACTAGTTAATTCCAGAACATTTCATCACCCGCAGAAGAAACTCCATCCCCATTAGTAGGCACTCTCTATTCCTCCTCTCCTCCCCTAAAGTCCTGGCAACCCCTGATCTGGGATCTTTAACTCTTGGTTTTATTCTTCACAGCTCTCGTGGCATTGTCCTTCAGTGGGGCCATTGGGCTGACTTTTCTCATGCTGGGTTGTGCCTTAGAGGATTATGGGTAAGTTATCATCTCAAAAAGAACCATTCTTGTTTTTGTGCCTTTGTCACCCTTAGTATGAGTGTTAGCAAGTTTGGTCCGTGTAGCACCAAGCTCTCACCAATGAGTCAGTGAAGTCCAGGTCCCTTCACGGGTCAGTTGTGTTTGTACAGAGAGAAAAGCTCTTTTTAAACTTGACGTATTCATTCAGTAAGCATGGACTGAGCACCTGTTCTGGACCAGCTGGGGATGCAAGAATGAAGAGATGCAGTCCTTTCCTCACAGAGCTCACAGTTCTAGGTGTGCCTGAGAGGCAGGCAGGTGGTGGTCCAGTTGATCAGTGGTGGAGCTGAGTGCAAAGGACCCTGAGCACTTTTGAGTCTTCTTGGGAGAGTTAGGGAGAGCTGCAGAGAAGCAGTGCTCTTTGAGCCGAGACGTGGTGCCTGAATAAGAGTTTGTGGGGCTGATAGTTAGGGGAAGGCAATCTAGGCAGAGGGAACATTCAACAAAAATTTCTTTATTCAGCAGTTGTTGGTCGAGTGCTTACCATGTACCAGCCGCTGTTACAGGACCAGAGGGTTAAGAAATAAGAGAACCAAGGCCCTGCTCTCTTAGAGTGTGTATTTCAGTAGGGGAGACAGACATAAACAGATTGAAAAATGTTCATTCTATCAGTGGCAGAAATGTTATGAAAATAAAGGATAAAGGGCACAAATGCCCTGGGGGAGAGTGGTCAGGGCAGGCCTCTCAGAGAGGGTGCCGTGTGGCAGAAACGTAAAGGAAATAAGGAAGTAGGCCATGCAGATAACTGGGGAAAGAGGACTTTGGGTAGCAGAAAAATCCTATGTCAAGGCTCACAGACATAGAGCATATAGACTGTTGAGGAAACCACATGTGGTTGTTTATGGTAGAGCATGGAATACAGCTGGGATGGGTAGAAGAAGGGTTGGTCAAGGATGTAGAATCAGTCAGTCTGTAAGACACTGTATGCCATGTAAAGGAGTTAAGATTTTGTACTTCAGGCAGTAGGAGCCGGAAAAGTATCTCGAGAATAGGTTTAGAGGGTGAGGGGGTTTATGTTTTAAGAAGGGCAGTCTGGCTGGCGCAAATGTGACATTGGGTAGCAAGGTGCCGAAAGTGCAGTCAGGGCGAGTAGCAGGGCACTGCTCTCATCAGTCAAGTCAAATGTAGGGCCATGGCAGTAGCAATGGAAAGAAAGGAAAGAGAGATAGATCCAGGTTGTCAGAACTAACAGGTTTTGTTAACTGATGTCATGGTTCAGCAAGGGGAAAGGGTTTGGGGATGCCCCCCAGGTGATTGGCTTGAGCAACTAACTGCACAGGAGGTGATGGAACTAACTTAAATCATCTGGAGCAAGTCTGCAGGACATTGATGAGTTCAAATCTCCCTCCTGCCCCCAACCCCCGGGGCGCCTAAGTGGCTCAGTTGGTTGGGTGTCTGCCTTCGACTCAGGTCAGGATCCCAGGATCCTGGGATGGAGCCCCACATCAGGTTTCCTGCTCAGTGGGGGACCTGCTTCTCCCTCTCCCTCTGCTCCTCCCCTGACTCATGCTCTCTTGCTCACTTGCTCTCTAACAAAAAAAAATACAGTCTTTAAAAAAATAAAATAAAATAAAACTCTCCTCCCAGTCCCGGCCAGCTATCACAGAAATTGTGTGTACATGAGTGGCAGCCAGTTGTAAGCAATAATTAACATTTGTCAAGAGTATAACTATTACCTGAGTCTAGCTTTAAGGATATAACTTATCCTCATTTCTAGTTGGGAAACCAAAGCCCAGAGTGGTTAAAGACTTAACCAAACTACACAGCCTTAAGTGACTCATGTCCTGAATCTGTTGACCATTTTTCTGTAACCAGCTCTAAATCCAGGTGTTCTAATCTCTGTGATCTCTATAAGGTTAAATAAAAAAATGAGCCGTTACTGCTACAATGAAGAAATTAGACTTATATCTTAACGATGGTAACCCAGTATTATTGTCTACATTACAAGTCAGCAGACTGGTGCACAAACCAAACAATGCCTGATGGCTATTTTTGTAATTAACATTTTATCGGAACTCAGTGACGCTTATTGTGTACTATGTTTGGTTACTTTTATACTACAAGGACAGAGTATTTGAGAGAGAGAGAATACAACTTGCAGAGTCTAAAATGTTTACTCTTTGATCTTCTGGAAAAAGTTTGCCAGTCTCTGGCGTACATGTTTTCTGAATAGTTAACATTTAATATTTAAATTTTGTGTATAAACAAGGTTGCTTCTATATTAACAGTTCTTGTAGTTGAATATTGATGGCTTATTGTGAACAGGAATGTGGTCTCCTACATTGTTTTACAGAAAACTCTCACTGTGTTCTAGGAAGAATTAAGAGCTTGTGGCTGTGGACATGTCAGGTCACAGCAAGGTCCAATCCAGACCTATTCTCCTTTCTGTATCTCCATTTCCTTACTGGTAAAACAAGGACTTTGAACTAGAGACTCTCTAAAGGCCCCTTCACCAATATTGTTTGATGATTCTTGAAACATACAAAAATCCCTGTAATATGAAATTAGGACTTAGAACTCAGTGTTTACATCCTGAGTTCTTTTGATAAAGGGCCCTTTTCCTTGCTTTCTGGTTACCATCCTGTGCTCCTAAATCTGTGACTGAAATAAGCTTTCATCACAGTGTAGCTTTGCCACAACTTCTGCTTACAGGTGCTGGCTATCAGGGTGGATCTGTATTGTGCTATGTATTTCTGTGATGTGGGTATATAAATGTGAATAGAAACTGTGCTTTTTTCTGTTAAGGAATGAAGTATAATAAACATCTACCTGATGGAGAAACATTTTTTTGAAGTAGTTACAGAGAGAATGTAATGGAAAGCAGATGGCAATTTTTAAATAATGTAAAACATTACATTATTATTGTTACCTCTTATAGTAAAGGCTGTCTAAAATTTTTGTGAGTAAGCATATTTATTTTTATAAGTTTCATACTTAAAATTCATTTTGTTTATTCAGTAAGTATTAACAGAATGCCTCATTCTAGGTCATGGAGATCAATAGTGATTGATTAAGACAAATTAGATTCTTGTTCTCATAATAAGGAAATATGAAATAGGGATAAGTGCTGTGCAAAAAGCTAAGAAGGCAATGTGCTTAAGGATAACTTGAAGTATTTAAAATGGATGGTCCATTTTATTTTATGTAGCATAATGTCCTCTGTGTCCATCCATATCATCACAAATGCAAGATCTCATTCTTTTTTTATGGCTGAGTAATATTCCTGTGTGTGTGTGTGTGTGTGTGTGTGTGTGTGTGTGTGTGTGTATGTGTCCCATATCTTCTTTATCCTTTCATCTACTGATGGACTTTGGGTTACTTCTGTATCCTGGCTATTGTAAATAATGCTGCAATGAACATAGATACGCAAGTATCTTTTTCAAATCAGTGTTTTTATGTTTTCTTGGAGTAAATACCCAGTAGTGGAATTACTGGATCATATGGTAACTCTAGTTTTTTTTTTTTTTTTTTTTTCTTTTTGAGGAACCTCCATACTGTTTTCCACAGTGGTTGCACCCTTTTGCATTCCTATCAGCTGTGCACAAGGGTTCCCTTTTCTCCACATACTTGGCACTTCTTGTTACATCTTGTCTTTTTGATACTAGCCATTCTGACAAGTATAAGATAATATCTCATTGTGGTTTTGATTTGCATTTTTCTGATGTTGAGTGATGTTAAGCATCTTTTCATGTGTCTGTTGGCCATCTGTATTTCTTCTTTGGGAAAAATATCTGTTCAGGTCCTCTGCCCTTTTTTAAATTGATTGCTTGGGGGTTTTTTGGCGTTGAGTTGCGTAAGTTCTTTATATGTTTAGGATATTAACATTTTACCAGATGTATCATTTGCAGATATCTTCTCCCATTCAGCAGGTTACCTTTTCATTTTATTAATGGTTTCCTTCACTGTGCAAAAGCTTTTTATTTTAAGGTAGTCCCAGTAGCTTTTGTTTCCCTTGCCTGTGGAGACTTCCCTAGGAAAGTGTTGCTAAGGCTGAGGTCAGAGATTATTGCCTATGTTTTCTTCTAGGAGTTTTATGGTTTCAGGTCTCACTTTTAGGTCTTTAATCCATTTTGAGTTTATTTTTATATATGATATAAGGAAGTGGTGCAGTTTCATTCATTTGCATTAGCTGTTCCACCATTTATTGAGGAGAACAAATTGACGGTTGGGTTGGGAGGTGGAGGGATGGGCAGAATGGGTGAAGGGCAATGGGAGATGCAGGCTTCCAAGTTATGGAATGAATAAGTCATGGGGTTAAAAGGCACAGCATAGGGAATATAGTCAGTGGTATTATAATAGCAATGTATGGAGACAGGTAGTAGCTAGACTTGTGAACATAGTGTGGTATATAGACTTGTTGAATCACTGTGTTGTATACCCGAAAACTAATGTAACATTGTGTGTCAACGATATCTCAATAAAAAAATGAAAGAAAGAAAGTAAGTAAGTTGAAATGGTCAGGGAGAGCCACCTTTAGAAGAAGGCCTTTCATTTTAGATTACATAAGAAGGAACCAGCCAATGAGAAGAGGGGGAGGGGAGCATTCTAAGCAGAGGACATGGCTAGTGCAGAAAACTTAATACAGGGATGAGCTCAGAATGTTTAAGGAACAGAAAAAAGGCTAGTGTGGCTACTGAGTGAATGAAGAGAAGATGGCATAAAATGAAGGGATCATATAAAGCTTTGTAGGCCAGGGCAGGGAATCTGGGTTTTCTTAAGCCATTGAAGGGTTTTCAACATGCTTATATACTCAAAAGATCACTATTGAATTAGCACATTGAAGACACTGTGCTGTGTTCTCTAGGGAAAGCAAAGATGACTGGGTGAAGTCGTCTGCACTAAGTGAAGACTGTCTTTAAGAAATTACAGCTCAGGGGGTGCCCGGGTAGTTCAGTCCTGGGGTCAAGTGCTTGGGGCACAGGAGCCTGCTTCTCCCTCTGCCTGCCTCTCCCCATGCTTGTGCTCTCTGTCAAATAAATAAATAAAATCTTTTAAAAAAAATTACAGTTCAGGAAGCTCAGTAATGACAGAAAACTACTAATAAAGATTCTAGGTTACACGTTGTGTAGTTGTTTTTTTTAACACCATGTAAACTACATATTAAAGGACTAATAATTTTTAATCATTATATCTTATCTGTTCCTGGTATAAATCATCTCATGTACGAGTACTGACAATTAAATGAATGATTGTTTGACCCATACATTGAAGCTAATTCTGAGTTTGAAATGGCAGAGTGTCTTTAAAATGTAACCGTAACTTTTCTTTTTGCGTTTCTTCTGGGTCCACCTGACAGCGTTTACTGGCCCTTGTTTGTCCTGATATTTCACGTCATCTCTCCCATCCCCCATTTCATTGCCAAAAGAGCAACTTATGACTCCGACGCCACAAGTAGTGCCTGCCGGGAGCTGGCATATTTTTTTACTACTGGAATTGTTGTCTCTGCCTTTGGATTTCCTGTTATTCTTGCCCGTGTGTCGGTGGTAAGTTTTGTCTCGTATTGTTTTGCCTGGTTGTTGCTGAGTTTACATCAAAGGCATGTGTCCAGAACATTTCCAGAGCTGAGGCTTAAGACTCAAATCCATACGTGTGTTTAGTTGCGCTCTTCCATTTTAGATGTCCCTATCAGTGTCTTGGCCTTGTTTTGAGAATGCTTTGTTTCTCTCACAACTTGTAGCCAGACCATGTGATTTTCTTGCCTTTTTGACTTTAAGCTATTTTCCAGAATTGTGCTTAAGTCCTTGCTGCTTAGGGCGATCCACTGAGACTAGGATAGCAATGCTCTTCGGTTCCAAAGTGAACATCATCTCAGATTCTTCTCCAGTAAATACGATCATGGACACAATTTTCAACCCAATTCAGTTGGCATATTTTGAGGTTCACTGTGGCCTCTAGAAGATATAGTGATAAGATGACATCTTCACATCTAATATGAAATTTTTCTTTTTGTCTCCAAAACTCACGCTGTGGGTAGAATTTATTCACTTGGACATTCGGTGCCTTTCATCCTACTTGCTTTTATTCCCTCTCGCTACATACTGTTTCAATTTCATGAAACTCTTATTTGGGGTGTTGGATATCTTACTTGGGGCATTGAATCTTTGGAACATCTGCTATTTGTAAGATACCAGGAATAAGAGCCAGATACTGTTTCTGTTCCAGAAAGCACAAAAACTAGCCTGATGGGTAAGTACACTATAAATGTATTATGTATGATAATTGAAACATGATCACAACACCATAGGAGCACCAGGAAGAAATTCCAACTGGCATTTGATGTAGGCCTCTGAGGATAAATAAGGTTTTGATTAGAGTAGGGAAGGCTGTTATATGTAATGGCCCCCAAGTGTGAAAAGGCAATATGTGGTATAAAGAACAGTTCAGTATAATGGAGCCAAAGGATGTGGTTGAGATCAAGGCCACAAAGGCTGGTGAAGCCCAGTTGGGCAGGCTCTTGAGTGCCATGCCAGTTTGCACTCTATCTAGAAAATGGAGAAGCTTTGAAGGTTTTCGAGTGCAAAATCATCACGACTTTATTCTTTGTGTACCTGAGACCAGTGCTGCTTCTGTTCGGCTATAAGGACTTCTGTTTCATGCATCATGTTTTATGAAGAACCCCTTTCATTGACGTTGTCTTTCTACCAGTTAAATTAAAACAAAGAATGCCCACTAGAGGGTACCCTCATCCCCTCCTATGCCTCTGTAGAACCATCTGCCAGGCTGGAAAGTGGTTTTCATTTGTATGCAGGTTATTATTTAAAGCTTAAAAAAGAAACAGACCAATCCATAACTCTCCAGTTCCTATTTTCCTGAAAGGAGGCAATGGGTATAGAACTTTTAGTGCTCTGTATTATAATTAACCCTTTGTGTTCCGGCTGCTTGTATTTTACTGAAGTAATCATCGTCTTCTGAAGACAAGTTGAGAAATAGGTCTAATGGGGAAGATGATAAGGATGATAAACTTAATTATCAAGCCTCACGAAGTAATTAGGCTAATTACTGAATAGTTCACTGTCTCCTGCCTGTTACATTATTAAGCCTTTTAGCGGTTTTATGTGATATTTCATTGGATAATTCTAATGCAGAAAATAAGAGAGACTTTAAAAGAGTGCAATATGAAGAAAGTAAAGATTTAATCCTCTTTTCTTGTGTTTCAGATCAAATGGGGAGCCTGTGGCCTTGTGCTGGCAGGCAATGCAGTCATTTTCCTTACAATTCAAGGTTTTTTCCTTGTATTTGGAAGAGGAGATGATTTTAGCTGGGAGCAGTGGTAGCACTTTATTCTGATAAAATGCATTTTATTTCTTAGAAGTCATACTATATGTATTTGTTGCACATATGGCCTTTTACTATGAAATTTCATATGCTGATTTTTTTTATGCCTTTATATCGTGTTCACTGTAAGAAGAACTACATGAGATAAAGATTCGTTTTATTTCCAGCCAGCAGCACTCTCCATTTACTCAAGTTGAATTAGGTTATTTGTTTGGCTGTTCATATAGTCACGGTGCTCTCAGAAAATACATGAACACAGTCTTGTAGATGGCTGCTCACTCGTGCAAGGCACCTTTTGCCCCGGGGATGTGCGTGGTGGGCAGAGAACACTGGAGCGCGAGTCTCCTTCTGCCCAGGACTCCCAAGATGTACTTGCGGCCCAGAGAGACCGAGACTCTGGGTTGTGTTGTAGATCGTTGCTTCTCAAAGTGCCATCGGTTGGGTCCGTACGGCACCTGCCTCTCCTAGGAGCCAGCATGTACAGAATCAGCGCCCCACCAGGGACCCAGTGCGTTTTGGTTGAGATCCCAAGTGAATTACGTGCACATGCAAGTGTGATCAGTGCCGTCACAGAGGCATAATTATCACATCTAGCGCCCTTCTCTTCGCTTTGGCTGAACCACTTAACCTCTCTGGGCGTTAGCAGCTCATTTGTAAAAACTGTTTCACCTGCCTTCACGTTGAGGCCTAGCTCAGAGTCTCTTGGTATTTGTGAAACGTCCAAACTGATACTGTCGTTCCTCACTTTTGCGGAATTGTTCGCAGCCGGGAGCAGCAGTGTCTTCACACCGTCTGAAATGCAGTGGCTGTTTGCACGGTGCTGGGGGAACAGAATCACCCCAGAGCCACACTGGGACGCCCCGAGGGAGGCCAGGTTGGAACCAGTCCCTGCTTCAGCAGGGTGGGCAAAAGCAGATAGGTAATACTGTTGCATTTCCCTTAATAACCACATGCCTCTCCCCCGCTGCTTTGTGATGCTCTCCGCCTCGCCCCGACCAAACACACACTCAGTGGTTCTGACTTGCCCTGACCTCCTCCCGGCTCTGCCTCTTCCTCTCCACAGAGCCAAGTAAGCAGGCAGAGGGTGAGCTGCTTATTTTCTTCACATGTTGATGTACTTAGTGTCTTTCACACCTTGTAGGTCTTTTAATTTATATAATACATACATAAAACACCTTATGCCACTTTTAAATGAATCATTGGGAATACGTGTCATGCTGGCTCCTCCAATCAGTTTTTCTCGCTCAACTTTTTGTCCAAGGTCTATTGAGAAAGGGAAATACAGGAACTAGAAGCACTTGGTGAGAATATAATGACTTCAAGGCATTGTTAATGTGTGATAACTGACATACGTTTAAAACACTGAAATTTTGAAGTTTGGAATTGGAGGAATTAGTATATATTTTCAGATTCTGGAGTGATCTGGAACCAGGAGAAGAGAGTGGTGATACCTAAAAGGACAGCGTGCAGTTATAGTCTGGGCTCGTGCATGATTTTATGTTTTCCAAGTTCTATGTACATGCAGAATTATGATGTTACTTCCAACATTTATACTAGAAGAATGATACACTTTATAATTTTAACCAACATTTTTAATAACACTTACTTGCACTTACTTTATTATAATAAATCTCTTTTAACACAAAAGAAAGTTTAATTTCAAGTTTTTATTCTGATTTAGCCTTGCTTAAAAGATAGAAAAGTGATAATCTCTTGGTGTTCGAAAATGGGCAGTTTGAGCAATAATCTATCTGCCATATAGTAATAGCAGTACATTTTAAGATACCATTTTGAATGTCTTGTTGGCTTGTAATAGTATTTCTTTTCCAATAGTGGAAATAGTGTTTAATTTATACTCTCCTTTTGCAAAAGCATCTTTATTACTTATACATATTTCAAATAACCAAGGTAGCCTTAATATATAGCCTTAAAGCATTGCCTCTTGGTTGTATTTCTAGATTGATGTAAAGTAATTGCGTAGAGAATGTTTGTAAGTATTCCCTAATAGTAGAATGGGCTCATTGAAGTGATAGACTGTTAAATTTGCTCTGTCTCTGAAAACGAACATTTATTCTTAGTGCTTAAGTGTCAGTTAAGTAATAAATGCTGATAGGAAGTATTGCCGTGTATAAATGTACAAGTTTCCTTTTGATGACGCAAATGTTGGGCATTTTTTTTTCCGTACACCTTAGAAAATATTTTGGAGATTCAGAACACATTGATGACATTCTAAAACTGAGAATACACATAAAGAATTGCTCACAAGTAAGTAATCTTGTGAAGGGATTCTCTATCGTGTTCCCGACAACTGGCTAAGAGCAGGACTTTGGAACGCTTTGCCATGGAAAGTGGGAGATGGGTGATTGAGTCCCCAGGCCAGGCCTTCTGAGGCAGGCTAACTCCTTGTGTTGTTGACTTCTAATGCTCAGGGTACCTGCCTGAATTTCGGGGCTCGGAAACAGGGTAGCTTGAACAGGGTGGAGAAAGGAAAGTTTCAATTTCCACCTCTTTTCCTAAGAACAAAGGTCTTTCTTCCATTTTTGCAGCACTTCCCATCCTCTAATACCCTTGGGGTCCAGGTACTTTCCTCTGAGTTTCCTGGCCTCCGCTCCTAATGTGGGGCCTTCCTCCCAGCCTGACCTACATGCTGGCCTCCTCCAATGTCCAGATCACCCACCTCTCTGCTCCTACCCTGTCAGTTGTCTTTGTATGGCTGATAGTGTGTGGTGCTGGTCAGACTCCTTCTCAGAAGAAAAGGATAACTTGTGATCATCTCCTCCCTCCCCTGGAACTCTTTCCAGTCCTCGCAGCACCCCCAGCAGCCTGTACTTTCCAAGCTGTGCTGCAGCTGCGTTTTTACAAGGGAGTGCCTTGGAACCCAGTGGCTCATTCACAGAAAATGGCAGAGTTTCAAAGTAAAGTGGAAAATGCATTCCAGCCGTTTATAGAAGGAGCATAATATTTGGGTTAGGGGCAACCCTCTCATCTCTCATCCCTTCCTCTGGGTGAGTTCTCAGCTGGTTGTACTTTTAATGGTTGTTTCTTTTCCTCTACTTAGGGACCCACAGATTTTTCTTAGAGTCCTCAAGAAGTCTTTGCCTCTGAGGTATTCCCTTGATGAAGACCGTTCTAGAGGCTGAAATATTTCATTAAGTTAATAACATTCCTAATGCTCTCAGGGAAATGCTTAGGAGATGTCACAAAAATGTGCCCTTCTCCAGGCTGGCAAAAAATTCAGATTTTGCACCATAACTTAACCAGATTTGTATGAGGATGCTAGCATTTTCCAAGTACAGTAATTAGTTCACAACTGGGAACTGTTATTTCTGTAAATGGATATAAGTTGTGTGTTTTAAGCGTTTTTTCCCCATGCTGCCGTATGAAGTACCTTATTTGAAAAATCCCAGTGTGTAATAGCTCAAGAATTACAACCTGCTTTGGTGGCCGTGCTTCTGGAATAGAGCCAGCGAAACCCGAACATGATGTGAAAGATCTCCAAGACTGCTTTAGAAGGAATTATATATGTATGATGAGGATGAATACTTTTTAAATAAAACGTGTCACTTATACTTTAACAAAGACTTTTATGTATGTTATTAAACGAAAACGTTCAGTTTAAGCAGATTTATTTCCCCAGTGTTTTTGTTTGGATAATCTTAATGTGACTGTGACCAGTTTTGATCCTGTACTACTGTGGTTGAAGAGAAGCAGTCCAGGGATATGGGCAGACTGGAAGGAATCCAGTTCCTAATGAACACACCCGTGGGTTGAGAGGGGTATTGGGCCATGGTTCATCAATGATGGCTATATTGGAAAAGGGAGAAAACTCAACAGTTTAAAAAACTGCTGTACATACTCTAAAAAGTCTTTTTTTAAAAATTAACGTATAATGTTTTTGTTTCAGGGGTCCAGGTCTGTGATTCATCAGTCTTACACAATTCACAGTGCTCAACATAGCATATACCCTCTCCAGTGTCCATCACCCAGCCACCTCCCCTCTAGCAACCCTCAGTTTGTTTCCTGAGATTAAGAGTCTCTTATGGTTCGTCTCCCTCTCTGGTTTCATCTTGTTTCATTTTTCTCCTGTCTTCCCCTATGATCCTCTGCCTTGTTTCTCAGATTCTCCATACCAGTGAGATCATATGAGAATTGTCTTTCTCCAATTGACTTATTTCACTTAGCATAATACCCTCTAGTTCCATCCACGTTGTTGCAGATGGCAAGATTTTGGGGGTTTTTTGATGGCTGCATAATATTCCATTGTATGTATGTACCACATCTTGTTTACCCATTCATCTGTTGTTGGGCATCTAGGCTCTTTCCATAGTTTGGCTATTGTGGACATTGCTGCTATAAACATTTGGATCACTGTATTTGTATCTTTAGGGTAAATACCCAGCAGTGCAATTGCTGGGTTGTAGGGTAGTTCTGTTTTCAATAAAGAGTCTTTCTGTGCACTACAGAAGAGAACAAACTGATGTAAAATATAAAATACTACTTAACGAGTAATGTGCTCCCCTCATGCATGAAACATTTGGGGAAGATCTGCTGTCTTACGGGTGGATTTAGGCAGCGGGATTACAAAGAAACTGAGCTAGCTATTTCTTTATGTTATCCAGCTAAGTGTAAAGTTTTAGTAGAAATTTAGTAATATCAACATAACCATAAAATGCCCAAAAGAAAAAACAGTTCCCAGGGAAACTTCTCTGGTCCAAGGGTTTATACATATGCATTTTCCTGTAGAAAGCACACTGGGTGCATTGAGATTCCCCCCTGGGACTGAGAATGGGTGTACCTGGAGGGATCATACACCTGATATTTAAACAGCATCTCCTGTTTTGAGATTTAAAACATCGATAACAACAACAAACTTTCCTATGTTTTTTGTTAGCTAAATGTGAATAAAAAGTCTTGTCCACTCATCATAATTGGGAAGTTATTTCCTCCTTTGTGCTTCCTCAAGCGGTTCTTACAAATTTCGGCTAAAGTTACCCATTTCTTGTTTTTGCAGAAAGTAGTAGTAAACAAATGTCTGGTTTTTTTGTTGTTGTTGTTATTGTTTGTTTTTTTAAGAATAAACTTTTTGAAGAATTTATATTTCAGGACTTTCCCTACATTTTTTAAAAAGTCTAACTTTGTAGAAAATGAATTCCAATTCTGTTTAACTTCCCCCTAGTCACCAGGCATAGGGCAGAATTACTAGATGACCATTTTGAAACAATTATGCATGTTCAGTATGGGGCATATAGACAAAGTGGTCCTAATCTTGAGATCGCACATTTGGAGAAGAACAGACTTGAAGTCTGCACAGTATCTCTTCATTATTGATGATCTTGTAATCACAACTGGATAACCATAGCTGTTTCACACACTTTCAAATTAAATCGAA